CAAAAATGACTTGCAAGCATTGCTAGGCTTACTGGGTAGCTAGTAGCAGTATTGATTGAGTTAAGGAATACTGAATGAAGAGCAGTGGAGCTGCTCAGTGTTTGATTTGGGACATCTCCAGATTTAGGTATCAGACAGTTGAAAATGCAAATATATGAAAATCAGCTGAAAGATGTGAGATCAAGATATCCATTTGGGCATTAACTCCTGCAGATCCAAATTAAAGTCTTAGGAATGAATGAGCTTTGGGAGCATGTTGAGAATGAAAAGAACAGAAGGCCAAAGATGAAACCTCAAGAAACAGCAACTTTGTAGGTAAAGGCAGAAAAGAAGAATCCCTAAAGGAGCCCAGGGTCACCTCTAGAGTGGGGAAGGAAACCAGGTGAATGTGGTAACAAGGAAAACAGAGTTAGTGGTGTCACATTGTGCTGAGAAGTTAAATAAGATAAAATAGGCAAAAAAAAAGTTTTTGGATTTAGAAACAAAGAGCTCATTTGCAAAAGCAATTCGAGTTATGTGTTGGGAGTGAACGCCACTTTGCAGCGGGTTGAGATGGTCCAAAGGGATGGGATCTTAAATATAGCAGAAGGGTCTAGCCTTGGACAGAGGGAGAAACACCTCTTCATTTTAACAGGGAAAGAGAAAAGGATAAGTATCAGTGCAAGTAATGCTTTCATAAGTGTAGGCTTTTTTTTTCTCTATGAAATAGGTTTCATTTTTCTGCTGTGATGACAAAAAATGGTAGGGACACAAGTTCATAAACATACTGAGGGTTTGAAATAGTTTAGCCTTTGTAAGAAATGGTAAAGAAAGTCGACACGGAAGGAGGAGTCTGGGCACGCAGCACTAAGGACCCAGGTGATATTGGCAGTCGTCTTTTGGTCGTATGGCTGTGACAGTGTTCAGGAGGTTGATAAAGGCTCAGACGGTAATATAATTCATCTGAGTCTACACTGTGTTGGAATAGGTGTGGGGAACAGAGAATGGGTCAAATAATTTGAGGCTGTTGACCCAAAAACATGATTGAAATGATCATTTATGAAATCTGAGATAATGGGATGAGTGGGATGAGACTCAAGAGGCAGCCGCCAAAAAGAAAGTAATAGATCAAGGGAATAAAAGTCCCTCTTAAGCTAAATAGCTAAAGTGAGATTAACTGAATCAATAGGTGGAAGAATAGATACTGTAGTTAGAGCAGGAAGTCTAGATCTATGAGTTTCAGATAATGACAAGGTCCAGGAGTGGACCCCATGGGGTTGAGCTGACTAGGCTTTTACGGAGCAGACTGTGGAATGGCTGGTGACTTCAAGCGGGAAAGTATTATGTGGTGGAGGCATGAAAGCGTGCAGTTACACAGAGATATATCTGCATTATTCAGGTAATCTTGAGAGGCAGTGCAGTGGAATGGTTAGTGGATAGGAGAGAAAATGGTAGGTAGAAGTAAGAAGTCAAGAGTTTGTCTTTAAAAAAATCAAAAGGAAACAGAGGCTTGAACATTCGTAAAGCTGAAAGGAAGGAGCCTAGCGAAGATGACAGATGAACAGATAACTGAGGGAGCAAGATCCCAAGGGGGAAAGGAACGAATGAGATTCGGAGCACTGGTGGAGACATTAGCTTTACCAAATTGGAAGAGAGTTGACATTGTGAAGGGCCCTGTGAAAGATTTACCTGCTGAAGGAAATTCAGACGGGCTACCTGTTTGTTCCTTTCTGGTTAAAGCCGGGTCCCCTAAAGTGCTTTTGTTAGCGATTGTGTTGGCGGCGGCAGCTGCCCCTTCTACATAACACCAGATCGCTTTACGGATTATGAGTTAACCAATTTCTTTTCAGTTAAGTCCCAGAAAAGCTTATAAGTAAAGATTCAAATAAAAAATGATGTTTAAATGGTTTTATCAGTTTATTATGGGTTTAGATATTGATTTGAAAAGCTAAAGAATGTTTTCTTATCTCAGTGTGTCCTTAGACTGATATACTAGGCTTAATAAGAATACTGCCAAGTCAGTCTTTCTTGAGAGCTTGTTTGGAGGTTCTAGCAGGGGAGCGCAGCTATATACCCTTGACCAAAGACCGGTCCTCAGCTCTATCAGGGAAGGTTGTCCTCTTCCACCGAGGGCACAGCTTCGGGAGGGACACGCATGGAGTGCTGAGGGAGGAAGGGGACACCCGCCTAGCCAGCCAGATCAGCTGAATCAACCCTGGCGATCAATGGGGTGACAGATGTCGCAGCCAGATCGCCCTCACATCCTCAATCATTCTTAAAGATGGAAACTTGTTCTCTCGTTTTAGTATGTTTGAGCCCAGATCTGGGTGAGGTAATTTAGATTTTTTTTTTCATCTTTAGGCTAAAATAAAACGAAGAGTCACTTGGTGCCCTGGCAAAATTAACAAAATGAAGGACTCAAACTACGTAAATGAATTTAATATGCCAGCGAATATAACAATGAAGAGACATAAGGCTGCTGTAACTATAGTAGGAGAAATTGATGAATGTGAGTGCCTTTTCAACTATTTTTAATTATGAAATCATCCCTACAAAGGGAGACTTTACTTATAACTCGGTTTATTATTAAATACATTTAAGTAAAATGTCTATATTTTAGATGTGATTACAATGGAGATAATGATAAAAAATAATTTAAGAAATTATAATAAGAAATTAAATAATAATTTAAGAAAGTGAACATTCATGAAGTTCTCTATCGTTTAAGAATGATACACTGTCATTAAAATACATGACGTATTTTTATTGTTTGTTTTTGGTCTAATCATTATCCAGTTAAACTAGTATCCATATAACATCTGCCTTAAACTTTGCTAATCTTGAAAGGGTAGCATTTACACAGGAAACTTTCAAAATTATGTCTTCAACATTTTAAATATTTTATGGGGACGTTTTAAATCTACTTACAGTGATCAAATCTCAAATTCAGAATTTGTCTTTTTTGCCTATATTGTATTAAGGAGCTTATATTTTATCACTGTATCTAGCCAGTGATCTTAATTCACACAATAATGTAAATGATTGCGTCTGTTGTTCGTGTATTCTTGGCAGTCATACTGTGAGCACATATTTGCTAAGTCGAACTTATTACCTCTGATTAGAATTTTTAAAATAGTCTTTAATTTGAGTTTTAGGAAACTTAACAACATGTTTATGGATAAATTTCTTTTCCCCCTAATTACAGCTGTTTGTTCAGAAGCTGATGTTTTCAGTAACACTCTTGATGCAGTCACTGAGATAGAGTGGAATCCAGCAACGAAGCTACTAAGTCAGGTAACTTAAATGTATTTTACAAAGCATCCTTTTACTCTTTTTAAAATGCATTTATTATTGCTATTTACTGTTGTAGCATATTACTAGCTCTGACTTAATTTCAGTAACAGTTTTGGTTCTAATTAAGGCTTCCCCAGCTTGTTACAGTCCCAGCTGATAACCATGCCATTTAGAGGGAATCTAAAAACTTTATAAAACAAGTGTGTGGTAATAGGTAAACTTTTGCTTCCGGTTCTCTATTTAAAATGCATTTATTATTGCTATTTACTGTTGTAGCATATTACTAGCTCTGACTTAATTTCAGTAACAGTTTTGGTTCTAATTAAGGCTTCCCCAGCTTGTTACAGTCCCGGCTGATAACTGTGCCATTTAGAGGGAATCTAAAAACTTTATAAAACAAGTATGTGGTAATAGGTAAACTTTTGCTTCTGGTTCTCTACCAGCAGATCTTGGTATCTTTTTTTTTTTTTTCCTGTCTTTTTTTGGGAGGCAGTCTCCTGAGAGTAAAAAGGGCTGATATTAAAAGTCAAAATTCTCAGGCATATAGTAGAATGATACATCAGGGAGGGATAAAATTGCCAAATAATAATGAAAAATAAAAGTAAACATATTTTATGTGATCTCATCACAGCATTAGAAATAAGGAATCCTATAGTGAGTGCCTTAGTAAATTTAGATTCCATGTTTACTTTCTAGTCTGCTAATGTTCAAAGAAATATGTGTATTTTTATAATAAAGTATTAAAGAAAATTTATTCCAAAATTTAATTTTGGAATAAAATTATAGTAATTCTTGTAAATTATTATTATTATTAGCTAACTACTATAATTAGTTATAATTAAGTATTATAGATAAAGTGCTTTTGTGTTTCTAAAACATACTCTAGAAGTTTATTATTTTTGGAAAACTCCTGTGTTAGTTTTTGTTTGATATATTTTTTTAACTCATAGTTTATCTTTTTCTCATAATAGTATAGAAAACAGAAACAGGTCTCTGTTGAGTGTGGTAAAACCTAGCAGCCATTACAGTTTTAGAGATCAATAAATAATACCTCTATTTCACTTCTTCAATTCAGAGCCATCTGAGAAATACAACGGGAGTCGGACAGGTAGAGAAAGAAATTATTAGCTTTATTACTAAGGAGCTTAAGGACCTGTGGAGAAATGGCCTTGCCACAATGCTTCCTATCTCCTACTCCTGATTGAACTTTTTCAGTCAAGCACAGGCAGAGCATTTGTTTATGTTTTGTTTTGTTTTGTTTTTTTACCCATTTCAAAATAGTCTTCGTCTGTTAGCTAGTTTACCAAAATACAAATGCTTTATTTAACTCTGGATCAGGGTAGACCATTAGGATAATATTGAAAAAGAGAATAGATTAAACTACCAAACAATTCAAGGTTAAATTAATTATTTGACTAATTTAAATTTTTGTTAAGGAAACAAAAGAAATATATGATTTGAATTCTAACTGAAAAATCTGGTTCTGTTTACAATAGGAAAACTTAGAAAGTGAGTTGAATTCACTTCGTGCTAGCTATGATAATCTGGTATTAGACTATGAAAAACTGAGACGAGAAAATGAAGAAATGGAATTGAAGCTAAAAGAAAAGGATGATTTGGATGAATTTGAGGCTCTAGAAAGAAAAGCAGAAAAAGATCAAGAGGTAAAGTTACAAAATGTGAAACTAAACTAAAACGACACTTTTGTAAAAAATATTCCCTTAAAGATGTTTATTTGTAAGATTGAGATTGAGGATCCAATCATTTTTCCACATGCATACAGAATTTAGAGAATTTAAGAAATTATTTGTATTGTTTTTAAAATAGTTAAATCATATTTGTTTCACTTGTGCTTATGCACAAGAAGAAGAAAAAATTAAAAGCATCTTTGGGAAGGTTTAGTGAATCTGCCTATTGACGGATTTGTATTGAAGAAATTTCAATATCTAGTCGAATGTTTTATGTATGATACTACATATTAATGGATTTTGTTTTCCTTAGAAAGTATATTCCTAAATAGTTAGAACATTATTAGAATAGCTTCAGAAGCTAAATTTGCACATTTCTTTTTCCATATAAGAGAGTTATTGTGAAAATTAGTATAACTAATACTAAATAGTTTTAATGGAATTTTTAGAAATGAAACAGATCACTTAAATTTTCTAAGTCTATAATATTAGGCTCCATGTTAAAAGAACCTAATCCAGAAACTATGAGGCTTTCGGGACTCAGAAATTGTCCAAAAGATTCAAGAAATTTCTTAGTGCAGAGAGCCCATAACATAGAGTTCATAGACACTATGAATTATTTTGCAAAATTTTTGAAAGTGTATTCATTTTTCTAGGACAAAAATCCATAACTGGTATCAGATTTGTGAAGTGACTCAAGAATCCCCTAAAAATAAGAGCCCGTGTTTTAGTGTAGTTAAAATACGAGTTAATTTGCAGATATACATTTCAGATTTCTATATGTGTAGCCCAAAGGTACACAATCCTTTTTCCTCAGTATCATTGTTCAGTTTCTCACCCTCTTCCTTTTTAAAGGAAAAGGGTTCTGGACCAAGAGTTATTTCCATTCTACCTACAATTTTAAGTTACTCCTATATTTCGTAGGCATTATATCCTGAGAGGCAAAAATCTGAAGTCCTCCAGAGTTTCATTAAAGCTTGTTGTAAAATTTGTATATTAACGAAATGCCAAATATCATGAAAAGAATATTGGACTTCAATCAATAAAACTGGGTTTTATTGAGAAGGGGTGGTCTAGTGTCATGGTTAAGAGCATGGGCCCTGGAGCCATATTGCCTGGATTTAAGCCCTAGTTCCCTGCTGAGGAGCTCACCACAGATTCGAACTGGGCGTGTATTAATGGCCAGGTCTTGAGCAAGTTGTTGAACCTCAACCCTCTCAGGGCTACTTCCTGTATGTCTCCACCCTTGAGGTTAGACCAGGTACTTGCCAAGGTCCTTTCTAACTCCAAAATTTCATCTAAGTTTTTGTATATTTCTCATTATAAATAATATGACATAAAATTAACTTTAGGCATACATGCAGCAATAATTTCTCTAATTTTTTCTTAAATCATTTATGTATTAATAAAAACTGAAGCTCACTGAATTGAGTCATACACAAAAAGATAACAAAATAACAGTCAAGGGGGAAATTAATACTATTCTGTTTAGTTTTATTTGAATACAAATTGAAATTCTCAATTCTGTAAGGTAACCTAAAAGATTAAGTAATAAAAACTTACTCTGTTCAAAACCGGCTTTACAGTAGTCATTGCATGTTAAACTAAAAACATGAGTCTGTATGGATACAGTAAAATATCTTCCAAAATGTACATTTTGGGGGACAGTTTAACAAAAAAGGAGTTAAAGTCAAATTATGGCCTTAAGACATGTGTTCCTTGATTTGCCTAAGGGTTTCATCAAAAATCACCAAAGTTGTGGATCATTTTCAAGTGGGAATATAGTAATATGTTTAAACAATAATTTTAGAAGGAGGAATAAACAATGTCAAGTATCATGCTGACGGAATAGTCCTCTACCTATTTTAACTTGATCTATTTAATTTTATAATTTTCACAACTTGCAGATTTTTGTCTTAAGAAGTTAAATATTTTATCTCTCCTGCTGCACATTACAGTTGAAATCTGTTTTATTTTCTTACATAGCAAAGGATTAACTTTTGACCTTATCATATACTTTCTCTTTATGCTCAGCATCTTAATACATCATTGGAAGATTACACTAAGATCTTTATAAAAGTCATTTAATCTTTTTTGTTTCCAGTACTTAAAATGACGTGCTCTTTTCTTTCTCAATGTTTTTTAAAATTAAGATTGGTTACTTGGTTCTTCCTTATTAGTAAATGTGATTTTCTTGCACAAAAGTTAGAAACAGGGAAGAAAAGGTGAAAGAGCCCATTTAAATGAGAACCAATACAAATGTCTAAAACTTTTCTGAACAATTTAGACTAGCCACTAAGCACATGTGGCATCTGAACTCTTAAAATGAGCACAATCTGAATTGACTTAAGTATGAAAAAAATGTAAACTTTCATTAATTTTTAATATCGATTACATGAAGAAATATTTTGGATAGGTCAGAGTAAATATGTTAAAATTCTATGTGTTTTTACTTAATGCGGCTACTAAAAAATTTTAAATTACAAATATTACTCACATTATTTCTATTGAATGACACTGACCTAAAATAAGAATGTCAAAACTATCACTAGTCTGAAATCTAAAACAAGTAGACTGAATTAAACATCCAGAAAATATTATTTAAATAAGATACTATTTTTGTAAGTCCCTTACATTCTATTAGAATTTGCTTTTACTCTTTAAGAACTCATCTGATTATGAAGATTAATTCTAAAGGAAAATATGTTTATCTTTGGTAAATTGTTATTCACTTAATTTGAACACAGAACTTACTGGTAATTCAAATATTTAATGCTACAAATATTTTGGTAGAAAACTTTAATAGAAATATTTGTATCTTTAAGTATTTATACTTTTAGACAGTTGAACAAGATGAAGCAAAAACATATTTCCAATATTTCCTATAAAATAAACCAATAAAGTAATTGTTGGTAATCTCATGCATATCTCTGTAGCGTTGGTGAACAGTAAGAATATTGTAAAGACACCATGAAACTACCCTAATCCAAGCATAAATTCCAAATTACAACTCTTATAAAAAGTATGCCAGTGTAAGCCAAATGAATAATTTATGAGAAGAAAAACATCTTATAGGATAGATATATTTCTTCACTTAACTTACCTAAAACAAAAATCTATTAAAAATATGCTTTTTAAAAGTTTGATTACCACTATCTCTTCCAAATGGTGCATATTAATTTGCTTTTTAACATTATTTTAGCTTTATTAACAGATGACAGAACTGTTATCTCTGTCAATGCTGAGGGTTTTTTTTCTTGTTTGCATGCTTTGTGGGTTGGGGATTTTTCGTTTGGTTGATTGGGTTTGGTTTTGGGTTTTCGTATACTTTTAAATAATGAGGTGTTCTGTTACAGTAGCTTGAATAATTGATCTCTCAGTCCCTTACTGTGTTGGGTGATTCAATATATTTTTTTTTTTTTTTGCTTTATTAACTTTTGGTTTGCTCTGTTGCCTGTTCACATGCTCTTACAGATGCAACTAATTCATGAAATTTCGAACTTAAAGAATTTAGTTAAGCATGCAGAAGTGTATAATCAAGATCTTGAGGTGAGCATTTATGTTGGTATTTCTGATAAGGAATTAGAACTATAAAATATATGTAATTGAACATGATTTTAGAAAATAAAAGGAATTATATTTTTTAAATGTCAACTTTTTGAATTTTACTGTCTACCAATATAAACTGTCAAATGTAAGTTCTTTTTACTTCCTTAGAATTCAGATCCAGTTCAATTATGTTTTACTCTCCTTTGATTCTTTTAGAATGAACTCAGTTCAAAAGTAGATCTTCTTAGAGAGAAGGAAGAACAGATTAAAGAGCTACAGAAATACATAGAGTCTCAGAAGTCAGAAAGTATGAAAATGGACTTGTCATACTCATTGGTAAAAATCAGGGGTTTTTTTTGTTATGTGATCATATTGTTACTTCTGGTATACAATCATCATAGCAAATGCTTATATTGAGCCTACAGTGTGCTGGGCATTGTCCTAATTGTTTTACATCCAGTATTTTATTTAATCTTGTCAATAACCCTGGGAGAGAGGGCCTATATTAGGAACATTGCCATTTTATGATAAAGAATTATTCATAGAGAGTGAGGATATTATCCCTTGAATGAATGTAAGTTAGGGATTAGCTTCCATTTAAAATTAGAAATTCAAAAAAGTTTTTAATTTTTTTCAATTGTTTTATACAAATGCAGGCAGAAATGAGTAGTCAATATCAGGTGAGCACTTAACGTTGTTAATGATAAGATGTAGAACTATAAAACATACCATACATAATTGAGCATGACTTCATAAATGTCATTAATGTCATTTCATCAATATTAAAGCGTTCTCATAATTTAAGTAACTATTTTAACAGTTTGGTGACTATTTTTCAGAAACTGTAGCTCTAAATGACTAGTTAGTATAAAATCATGGTATTAAATAACATCGAATCTCATGGTGAAGTTGTTTGTTTTTTTTTCTATTTGCCTCAATCCACCTGATTACTTCAAGAAAGTATCAGTTTGATTGTAGTTTTAACACTCATTTTAAAAAGGCAACAGTGTCTAGCTTGAATCTTTTTAGTATTAGTTTCTGTTGTTCTTTTGAGTTTTTCCGACTACTTTTTGTTACTTTCTATTAATGACAAATGAGTCTTTTAAAAAGCATTCTCACTTAAAAATAAATAAATAAATAAATAAATAGATAGATAGATAGATAGATAGATAGATAGATAGATAGATAGAAGAAATAGAATAAATAAATAAATAAATAGAATAAAATAAAATAAAAAGTATTCTCACTGTTCTGAGACCATGGGTAAGAAAGGCACTTTGATATAATACTGAAGTGTCTATTTATAATTTTTAAAATTTTTGTTTAGTTCTTACTCTGTTCATCTCATTCATTCATGCATGCATTAATATTTTACCAAGGATATATAAATTCATGTAAGCTAAAGTCATGTTAAAATGCTGCTTCTCTCTAAAAATGGGACTTCTTATTTTTTTCATATATTTATCAATCATTTGCACTTCCTATTCTCTGAGTTGCCTATTTATATCTTCTATCTATTTTTCTATTGGATTATTTGTTTTTCTTTGCAATTTATGATTTAATATCCTTAATTTTAACTATTAGCTACTCACCTATTGTGTTTTGGAGAGAATAACTTAAAAATACATAGGAAACTTTAGCAGGCTAGTTGAACAACAAAGTGTTAACCTTTTTCAACTCTAAGAAAGTTAGATTTCACTAATTCTTTTTTGTCATGTATATAGGAAAACACTAATGACCTTAAACAAATGAAACAGTCTTTGGTTGATGCTGAAACAGTAGCCCTGGATTCCAAAAGAGAATCAGCCTTTCTTAGAAGTGAAAATCTGGAGCTGAAAGAGAAAATGGTAAGTGATTTTTATAATATTTATAATTAAGCAGTTGTAATGATCAGTATATTTTTGTGAATTTGCAGTGTTTCTCTTAATAGAAAGAACTTGAAAGTACATGCAAGCAAATGGAAAATGATAATCAGGTATATCAAAGCCAGTTGGAGGCAAAAGAGAAAATGAAAGTCGATCTAATGAAAGAATTACAATCTTCTTATAATGAAATAACGAAACTCACCTCCCTTATAGATGGCAAAGTTCCAAAAGGTATTTTGTAATTTTAGACTTACTTCTGCAAATCTGACTTTCTGTAGAAATGTACCTAAAAGATTTTGCAACTATATTCCAGTGATTAAAATTCCATTATTCTCCCTTTTTTTTTTATAATAGTTTCATATTAACTCTGAATATCATTTGTATCACTATTTATAAATGTTTCCATGGACTTCAATTCATAAGGGTTTAAAGTCAATTACTTCCCAAGTAAATTGGACCTGATTCTTGAAAAAGGTGATTCAGAAACTAGTAACATGTATAGCGATGGATAGTAACTAAACTTTTGGGGAGTAATCACTTTGTAGTGTATACGGATGTCAAATTATAACGTTGTACACCTGAAACATACTTTTTAAAAAAACTATGTATTAACAATTAGATTAGCTGTTTACTAGTATTGGCTCTTTTTTAAATAAATTATATATAATCTGATTAAAAGTCTAACTGTAATTTAGATTGACTTAATAACTGAAAGCTGTTCAATTTACCAAAAATTTCCTAGATTTACTCTGTAATTTGGAATTGGAAAGAAAAATTACAAATCTCCAGAAAGAACTGAACAAAGAAATTGAAGTAAATGAAGCTTTGCACAAAGAAGTTAATTTGCTCTCAGAATTGAAATCTTTACCCTCAGAAGTAGAAATGCTAAGGAAAGAGGTAAACAAATTTTTAAGCAAATAACTCTTATTTTGAAAGTAAAGTTAAAACAGGGTAATGTATTATTATAGAGATGTGATAATAATATTGCCTTTCCTCAGTCAAATCTTTGCTTAATTTCAGTGTCTTTTTTTTTTACAGAAAAGGGATTTTTTTTCCTGAACACTGCTTCAATAGATTATATATTGCTAATATAGCTAAGCTTTCTTTTTTCCATAGATAAATGATAAATCTGAAGAGCTATATCTAATAACATCAGAAAAAGACAAATTGTTTTCTGACGTAGTTTATAAGGAGAGTAGAATTCAAGATTTACTTAAAGATATTGAGAAAGCTAAAGATGACCTAGCAACTATCCAGATGAATTATAAAAGCACTGAACAAGAATTCCAGGATTTTAAAAATCATCATATTGAATTTGAGCAAAAGTATAACATGGTCCTTGAGGAGAATGCAAGAATAAATCAGGAAATAGAAAACCTCTGTAAAGAAACTCAAAAACTTGGTTTAACTTTGGATGCTTTAAAGGTGGAGGTTGGTACAAGACGCCCTCTAGGGAAATGATCTTTGTCTTCTGGGGCTTGGCTTCCATAAAAATGCCATAGAATGTTCTGCTTTTCACATTTACTTTTCTTATTTTAAAGCTTTCTCATAAAATCCAGGAACTTCAACAGAAAACCACTGAGAGTCAAGAATGGTTAAACGAAGTGGAAAAGCTGAAGGAACAATTAGAAAGTAGAGATTCCAGGTTGCAAACTGTAGAAAGGGAAAAAACATTGATTACTGAGAAGCTTCAACAAACCTTAGAAGAAGTAAGAACCTTAACTCAAGAAAAAGATGACCTAAAACAACTCCAGGAGAGCCTGCAAATTGAGAGAGACCAACTCCAAAGTGACATTCAGGATACTGTAAACATGGTAAGGTTTTGACTGATTAAACTTTGAAAACTCAGAGAGGCTCTTTAAAAACATTATAGGAGCCATCTTTTATTATTTATGATCACATAGAAACTATAAAATTAATTTCATTGTTTCACCTTATTCTAATGGAAATGGTTTTGTATTTCTCTGACAAAGAACATAGACACCCAAGAACAATTACGAAATGCTCTTGAGTCTTTGAAGCAACACCAAGAAACTATTAACACACTGAAAATGAAAAATTCTGAGGAAACTTCCAAGACTTTGCACGTAGAGGAAAACATAGGAGAAATTAAGGATGAATTTCAGGAAGAGGTAAAGAGTGTTTCTGTTCAGCATTTTCATATATTTATAATGAGCTTTCTCCTTAACCTCAAACACTTAAGTACACAGTAGTAATCTCAATCTTATTTATTACTCACAGTGGTAATAACTAGCAATAATTCATAAACTTCACTCTAATATCTTTGAAATAACTTAAAATATAACTGCTTACAACAAATCTAAAAAGGAAAAAGCAAAAATTATTAGTTCAAACTTTGAACGGATATTTTCTGAGGCCTGACATACTTTAACCATCTTTAAAAGCCCCTCTGAATTCTAGGAATGTAAGCAAGATTGAGTGATTATTAATTATGGCTCAAATATTTATTTATGTCAGATTTTATATACTGAACTTGTTTAGAGTTTACTATAAAATCAATGTTTATGTCTATTTCTAGGTCTTGGGCCAACTTTTAGGTGCTTAAGTCTTTGTAGTATGGTTTTATTTTTTTCCTGAGATTTAGGAGAATAACTATGTAACAGGAAAGTCTAGGATGCTAATTTTTTTTAAGGGAGGTATATTATAGTCTGCCATAACAAAATATCACAGACTGGATAGCTAAAACAACATATTTCTTTTCTCCAGTTGTGGAGTCTAGAAGTCCAAGATTAAGATACCTGACAATTCTGTTACCGGAGCAGTCTCTCTGGAATGCACATGGTGTCTTTTTTCTGTGTCCTTACATGACCTTTCTTCTGTGCACTTTCAGAAAGACAGAGTTCTGGTGTCTCTTCCTCTTAAAGGACACCAGTCCTGTGGGATCAGGGTCCCACCCTTATCACCTCATTTAACCTTAATTACCCTCTTTGACTGCTCTATCTCCAAAGTTACACTGAGGGTTAGAGCTTCAATGTGAATTTTGGGAGGACACAATTCAGTTCAAACTGGAGGATTTTGTACAATAGATTCATTTATTATACATTTCTACTCTTCATAAATACCTTATATAATCAACAGAATTTTTTATAGTACCTTTTTATAGTATCTTTTTTTATAAAATTATGCTTAAGATTATTTAAGCCAGAATATTTACTATAGGAATTTAAAACATCAGTAGAAGACTGATGAAATAATCTTTCATAATTAGCATGGAATAGTATAGTCACATATATATTTGTTTTTTTAATTGTGATAAATTATATATAGCATACAGTTTACCATCTTAACCATTTTTAAGTGAATAGTAGTGTTAAGTAAATTCACATTGCTATGCCATTAATCTCCAGAATTCTTTTTATCTTGCAAACCCATCAAACAACAACTCACTGTCCTGCTGTCTCCAAACCCTAGTAACCACATTCCACTTTCTGTCTCTATTAATTTGACTACTCTAGGTACCTCATATATGCAGAATTATGCAGTATTTTCTTTTTGTGACTTATATTTCACTTAGCATAATGTCCTCAAAGTTCATCCATTACTTTATAACCTTTTTGATATCAACCTGACCCAGCTGGATCCTGTAGTATTAAGTTCATGCTGGAAGCATCCATTTCAATAAATGGGCCTTCAGGGATTCTCTGAAGCATTCTATCCATCAGAGGTCCTGAAATCTGAGATAGAAAGCTGAGATAATCTTGGTCTTATGTGATGTTCATGCCAGAACCCCCATGTAGATAAAGATGTGGCTCTGGGACTTTCCAGGGCCCCCTCTGTTCATCTGGTCACCAGAGACCTCCATTAGTGGGTTTGTCATGAATCACCATTTGCAATCTTGCTTGACGTGTCTCTTTGGAAATGCAATTTATCTAGTGTGTCTCAATGGAAAAAATTTTTTTTTCAATTAGAGTTGATATTCAGTATTATTTTATATTAGTTTTATGTGTACAGCATAATGGTTAGACATTTTATATGATTTACAAAGTAATCTCCCGATTAGTTTAGTACCCACCTGGTGCTATGCATAGTTATTATAGTATTATTGATTATATTCCCTATGCTGTACTTCACATCCCTGTGACTATAATGTAACTACCAATCTATACTTCTTAATCCCTTCACGTTTTTCACCCAGCCTCCCAACCCCTCTCCCATCTGGCAATTATCAGTTTGTTCTCTGTATCTATGAGTCTGTTTCTGTTTTCTTTGTTTATTTTGTTCTTTAGATTCTACATATAAGTTAGGTTATATGGTATTTATCTTCTCTGTCTGACTGACTTCACTTAACATAATATCCTCTGGTCCATCCATGTTGTTGCAAATGGTAAGATTTTTTTTTTTTATGGCCAAGTACTATTCCATTGCACCACATCTTCTTTATCAAATCTCTAATCTGTTGATGGACACTTAGGTTGCTTCCATTTCTTGGCTATTGTAAATAGTGCTGCAGTGAACATATGAATTAGTTCAACAGAAACTTTAAGCTTTGTAATTAGTAAGATTATTCTCATATAAAGGAAACTTTTTTAAAATAATTAGATCTATTAGATTTTACTCATAACTGTGGTAGCCAAAATACTTTTTAGGCTGCATTCAGTTTTGAAATGTACCTTGGGTATCATGACAGAATACTTTGTGTCAGTCTGCTTTCTCTTTATGTATATTCCTTTGTTTAAGAGTAAAGACGCAAGATTCTGAACTATAGTATCTGACAGACTATGTCTTCCCACCTTACTTTCTGATGTAGTGCTCACTATTGTCAGAAGTTCGTGCATATTGCCAACAGTAAGAAGGGAGCTTAAAGTAGTTTGTCCATATCCTCTCTAGAGAACCAATTTGAAGACTATGTAATAGCATGGAAAAATGCATATGATCTAAGTGAAAAAGAAAGACTAAAAAGAATTCTACATATGTAAATTAATTTTGATTGCTATGTTTAAAAAAAATTTTTTGGTGGAAAAGCTGTGGAAGGTGAGGTGGCTCCATAGTGTAGTGGTTAGCACGTCTGCTTTACACGCAGAAGGTCCTGGGTTCGCGCCCCAGGTGGAGCCACAGACCATACCCCGGGTGCACCAGGCCCCAGGTGCTCGCCGCGAGTGCGTGGGAGGAGATGCCCCGCCTTCAGAGATCCAGTTCTTAAGGGGAAATGGTAACATCCGTAGGTCAGGGGTGGAAGTCGGGGCGGCGGGGGGGATTATAGGGGGAAGGGGTGAAAAACTGTGGAAGGAAATACTCCAGAATTCTAATAATGGTTGTGTGAAGTTGATGACATTGAATGACTTTTTCTCTTTATTTTCAAATTTTTCCTAATGAAATTAAAGGTTATTATAAAAAAAAAAAAAAAACTTTTAAAACATGTCCAACATGGAGCTGAATGTATGTACTGGGCTGGTGTAAGGATTTCATGCCATCAGTTGTAATGTCGGTCTTTGTCTCCTTCTGCCAAGGAGTCACATGTTAGATTACTTTTGGTTAAGATTTATTTATGGATAAATGAATTTATATAACATGTTTTTCCTAAGCAGTGTATGAAAAATATCTATTAAGGAAAGATGAATTATGTTATTATATGAAATATGTTTCAATCGAAATCATTTTGCCCTTTGCATGTGATAAAAGTCCAGCCTTTTGTGCATATGACTGCCTCTAAAAGATTTATAGGGAAGGAGGTGCTAGGGAATGATTTCTGGCTTTTGAAGGAAAGAAAATATAGAGTTTAGAGTGGCTTACTCCGTCATAAAGTCAGATTAACCCATCATACATGAAGATCATTGTTAATTATCTAAAGCTGTCCAGGTAGTTCTTATCAGTGAACAGGCACAGCACAAACACAAACTAGATGCAGACCACTAGAGTTCACTAGCTGGCTCTACCTTTCTGAGTGACCATGGGCAAGTGACGTATCCTCTCTAGGATTCAGTTTCTTCATCTGTCAAATGGAGATGATAATATTACCTACCTCATAAGATTATAGCAAAGATCAAATGTGTCACTGTATGCATACAATGCCTAGTACATAATAAGTAATATAAGTGTTGGCTATTTTTATTATTAAAATTGTTATTAACTGAAAAATATGTTATTTATATTTTAGATGGTTGGCATAGATAAAAAACAGAATTTGGAAGGCAAAAAAACCCAAGCACTGATTGCAGATGGTGAGGATAACGAGCTAATTGAGCAACAGAAAAAGATACTTTCTTTAATACAGGAGAAAAATGAACTACAACAAATGTTAGAGAGTATTACAGCAGAAAAGGAACAATTGAAGACTGACCTAAGGGAAAATATTGAAATGGTAGGATTTAGCAGTGTCTACTTGAGAATATGTTTTTGTCTTTGTATGTTTTAGATTTTTTATAATTTTATTGAAGGACATATGTGTATATGCAATGATTATATCTGATACAAGTGTATAGTCTGGTGACTTATGACAAATGTCTCTACCTGTGTACCCTCCACCCCCATCATGATAATAGAACATTCCCATCACCCCCAAATTTCCTTATGCCCCAACCTACTCAATCCTAACCTCATCCTCTGTACCAGATAGTCACTGTCATGATGGTTTTTCACCTTAGGTCACTTTGTCTCTTCTAGAACTTCATCCAAATAGAATCATACAGCATGTACTTTTTTGTGTCTTCTTTCTACATTCCTTTTTATTGCTAGGCTATGTTCAATTTATTTAACTTTTCTCCTATTGGTGGAAATTTGAGTTATCTCCACTATTTGGCTATTTCAAATAAAGCTGCTATAACATTATTATACGATCTTTTCATGAACATGTGTTTTTTATTTCTCTAGGGTAAGTATCTAAATGGAATAGCTAGGAACAGTATATTTAACTTGATGAGAATTTACTATAAATTTTAATTTTGGACTGATTTCCAAAGTAGTTTACCAGTTTACATTCCCATTAGCAAAGTAAGACGATTCTGAGGCTCCATATCCTCACCAACTCTTCACATTATTGATGGTTTTAATTTAGCCATTGTATTGGATGTGTATGTCATTGTTTTAATTTGCCTTTCCCTGGTGACTAAAGATACTGAACGTCATTTTATGTGCTTATTGGCCATCATGTATCTTTCTATAAATTATCTGTTCTCTCAGTGAGTTGTAGATTTCAGTGAACAGGTCTTATCTATATTTTGTTAAATTTGTTTTAAATGTTTCTCTTTTATTTATGCTATTAGAATTTTTTTATTTCATTTTTAATAGTTAATATTTGCCAATACTTTCAACCCTACTTTAGTTTCTGTTTCTGTGTTTAAGGGCATATAATATTTGTAGATCGAAATTAACATTTTGGGAAGTTTGCTGTGAATCACTGTAGAACCTGATCTTTTGTATAATTTCCTATTTGTTACAATTGTCTATTTGATCAAAAGAGCTGAATGTAAATATAATACAGACAAAAGGCATATTCTCTTCTTGGTTTCTGGCTTGTAATGTTATGTCTGGATACTTGAAAATATCACTGTTTCAGTTTAATAACTAGGATTAGCCCAAGTCATTCTAGCAGAGAGTGGGTGCCATTTTGAGCTTGCTATTATTCAGTGCCCAAAACCAAAGCCATATTAGCATATGAAGAGTCCATAACTGTAGCCTCATCATCAGTCTATGAAAGCTTAGAAGCAGTTTCTCTTAGCTTAGGAGGAGAAAATGAACAAACTTCTCATGGTAGAATGCTAATTCCAGTTCGAGTTCTCATGATAGAAATGTAAGTTGAACAATAAAGAAATAGCATAAAAAAGCAGATTCTTGGCATATACATAATTAAATACTTTCTTTTTAAATTAGTCTTTTCTTATATAGTTTGTCATGATTTCTTCATTTTTAGACTGAAGTAAATTTTTATTTTTACCTGATTTCGTTAATGTAAGCTAGTATTATATATTTTAATCTCAACTTTAAAAATTCTAGACTATTGAAAATCAGGAAGAATTAAGAATTCTTGGAGATGAACTTAAAAAGCAGCAGGAGATAGTTGCACAAGAAAAGAACCATACCATAAAGAAAGAAAAAGAAATCTCTAAGACCTGTGAAAAACTGGCAGAAGTTGAAGAGAAGCTAAAGGAAAAGGTTAATTTTTTAGTTATCTTCCTTGTCATTTTTCCTAAGTTATTATGTTTTCTTTTGTCTTCAGTGATAAATTTTTATTCCAGCAGACCTAAGTTCCATAAATAGCATATACCTCTCAAATGAACAGATTTTAATGCTAATATTTTAGACAGTTTCAACTCATACTGAAATCTTAACTAATATCCTTTGCAAGGATTATATTATTTTAGAGTCTTTAGATGAAAGAGAGGCCTTGATTCATATGATATAGTCTAAACTAATCATGTGATATATTCATTCATCAAATATTCATTGAGTACTACCACTTGAATTTTGAGTGGAACATTATTCAACCCACTACCGATACTGTACCTGGAAGGTCACTTTACTTTTAATGCTACTTGTCTGCTCACAGATTATTTCTGTTCGGTAAAGTATACTTTACATAATAATTTTAAGGGAATATAGGAAAAATGGTAATTATAAATATTGTACTTCTTTAGAGCCAAGAACTTCAAGAAAAACAGCAACAACTTCTTAGTGTACAAGAAGAGATGAGTGATATGCAAAAAAAGATGAATGAAATGGAGAATTTACAGAATAAATTGAAGAATCAAGAATTAACATTAGAACATCTGGAAACAGAGAAGCTAGAGTTGGTTCAGAAACTTCATGAAAATTATGAGGAAATGAAATCCATAACCAAAGAAAGGAATGATCTAAAGGAATTACAAGTGTCATTTGAAACAGAGAGAAATAAACTTAAAGGATACATAAGAGAAATTGAAGTTACAGTAAGTCATTCCATTTTCTTTTATCTATTAGGTGTTTCTTTAAAAACTGAGCCAGTTGGAAAGGGGGAAATAGTGTTGAGATGATGCTGTTATAATATTTAAATTTCACTTGTTAATAAAGGATATAGAAACGAAAGAAGAACTAAAACTTGCTCGTATGCATCTAAAAGAACACCAAGAAACTATTGAAGAACTGAGAAGAAGCGTTTCTGAAAAGACAGCTCAAATAATAAATAATCAGAAGGGCCTAGAAAAATCCAATACTGAATTACAAGAAAAGGTTTGTCTTTTCTTCCTTCCCTACTGTTCCTTCTTCCTTTCTTTTTCCTTAGAAGGAAAGATAAGCAATAAGTAGTGACTGAATTAAATATGGTTCATTCATTTATTGGGTAGTATTTGTTGAGTGTCTGATATGGCAGGTACAGTCCTAAGTTACAGAAATAAAATTGGAATAAAGTGGACAAAATCTCTGATCATAGAGCTTACTTTGTAGTGGAAAAGATAACTGATTAATAAGCAGTCAAATGAACAAAATAAGTTGAGATAATGGCGAATGCTATGGAGAAAACGAAACATTGGGATAATTGGACCAACGCTTGTTAAAAGCCTACTATGCACCAGTCACTGAAACTATGTATGTAAGACATTGTTATTTCCCCTCAATATAAGCATATAAAGAAAACAAAAATAAAAAGAAAACTCCATTTCAGTATGATAAATGCAGAAATTTAATATGCAAAGCCATGTAGTACCACTAGTGCCAACGGGAAAGGGGAATCAATCTGTACACATAAAAAAAAAAATTGAGAAATAGTATTAGGATTCATCTGAGAATGGAGACCATTCATTCACTAGGATATAATCTATGATTTTTTTTCTTATAGCATTATGGAACTAGTTAGTATAGAAACGGAAGCGTGCAACTGACTGAATTAGCAATTTGTTGGTAAAACAAGGATTAGTTCACTTTGAATGTAAGTTGGAGTAAAAGAAAACTGACAGAAAGTCGTAAATTAGCTTTAGTAAGAAACAAAGAAAATGAATAAATAGGAGTTGGTGATCCATGGTAGGCCATGAGGGTTCAAGATCACTTTCATTGCTATGGGAAGTATCCTCATCTTTTCCCTTTAAAAAATTATAATAACAATTTCCAGATAGTAAACTTGGTATTTTATGAATATCACAAGATCCCAGTGCTTCAGGAGGAAGAGGAGCTACTTCCTAATACGAAAGAAGTCAGCCGTACTCAGGGAACAATGGGTGGATTGGAACTACTGAAAGAACAATCCAAAACCGACAATTCAACACTGGCAAGTATAGAAATGGAAAGGCTCAGGTTAACTGAAAAACTTCAAGAAAGTCAGGAAGAAATAAAATCTCTCACTAAGGAAAGAGACAATCTTAAAATGACAAAAGAAACACTTCAAGTTGAACATGACCAGCTGAAAGAAGACCTTAGAGAAACTTTGGCTAAAGTAAGTTTCATCCTTTCCTCCCATTTAAAGTATTTCATAAGAATCAAGTCTTTGGGAGAAAGGGACATTTAATTATAAAGTTACTACCAATTTTCTTTAAACATCTTTTTAATTATGAAGTAAATGAAAACAAATAAAAATTGCTCAGAAATACTTAGAAACTATTGAAACTGAGAGAAAATGTTTCCGAGAAGACGGCTTTTTTCTTAAATGTTCAAAATGATTTGGAAAAAACAATGCTATATAACAAGAAAGGATGAAGCCAAAAACACTATTTTTTTTCTTCTCTACATCTATTCCTCCAGTATCTTATAAGGCACTAACATCTTCCTCATTGATTCAGTCAGAAATCTGGACATCATCCCTAGTACCATCCCTCCCTCCCTACTCACTCTGTAATCCAAGCACCAAACCCTGTGGATTGAGTTTTGAGGGAAGGAGGGAGGAAGGGTGTATGTGTGTGTGTGCGAGTCAATGAAATCCTCCCACCTTTCTCCATACTGCTAGCACTTTTCCAAGCCACCATTCTTTCTTTCCCTGGCTTTCTGCAACAGCTTCCTAACTCATCACCCCCCATTCATTATTATACTTCTCTGACTTATTCCCCATTCTGAGCCCAGGTGATCTTTTCTTAAAACCCTTTAATAGCTTATTTTTTTACTCTTAAAATAAAGACTAGAATCCCCCTCATAACCTAGGAAGCTCTGGATCCCAGACCTTACTGGTCTCTAGCATTATTTCAGCTTGCTTTCTCTTGCTTATCATGTTGGAGCAACTCTAGTCTATTGCTCTTCTTCATCTCATGGCCTGCAGATGTTCTGAGCTCCCTACCTGCAGTATTACCATACCCCACTTTGCCTCGTACTCTCATCCTTTAGTTCTCAACTGAAGCTTTCTGTCCCCCAGGAAGCCCTACCCAAACACTCACAGTAGGTTAGGTTCGCCACTAATACCATAGGAGAAGCCAGTATCTCTGTTTGGTAAGATTTGCCATAATGTGTGCTGTCCCCCTAAAGTGTCTCAAGGCAGAGATCCTGTAAGTCTCATTTCCTGTTTTATCTCCAGCTTCTAATAGTATACTGATAGCACAGTGAGCCCTCAATAAATAAAGTGCTAAAACATGAATAATAGAAGAGTATAGGAGTGGGAAGATTGCTCTGTAAATGAACCATTGAATCTTGGTTTAATTGTTTTAGAAAGTATCCTGATTTGAACTGTATTCAAAGATACTATAAAATAAAATATAGTATCTTTGGATATCAACCGTATTGTTTTATGATCCTCTTAAGATCCAAGAGGCTCAAAATAAACAAGAGCAGTCCTTCAGTATGAAGGAAAAAGATAATGAGACCAAGAAAATAAAGAGCGAGATGGAGCAATTAAAGGAACAACTCAAAGCTAAAGAGTCAGCACTGCTACGACTAGAAATGGAAAAGCTCAACTTGTCTGAGAGACTTCAAGAAAGTCATGAGGAAATGAACTCTGTAACTAAGGAGAGAAATGACCTACATAGGCTGCAAGAGGTTCTTCAAGCTAAAAGCGACCAACTCAAAGAAAACATGAGAGAAATCACAGCTAAAGTAGGTTGCATCCGTTTCCCCATGTATGTGTGGGTTTGTTTGGGTTTTTTTTTATTATTATTTTATAAGCATATATTTTTGTAGAAACTAAACTTTGGATAAAGAAGTTAGAGTGTAATGGTTATAACATTTCTATATATTTCTTATAATTTCCTCTATTAAAAAGCACCTACAAACCGAAGAAGAACTTAAAGTTGCTCATTGTCACCTGAAAGAACAAGAAGAAACTATTGATAAGCTGAGAGTGAATCTTTCAGAGAAAGAAACTGAGCTATCAAACTTTCGAAAAGATTTGGAAAAAGCCAATGATGAATTACAGAGAAAGGTAAATTGGGGTAAAGGAACAGTGGGAGAAAACCTAAGGGAGGTAGCTAACTGAATTACAAAGACTACTGTTTATATACTAAATTGTTTTGGAGAGCTTCCTGGGGTTTTTACCTTAAAAAAATACACCCATACATATATACACATATATAAACACATTTTATGCATATGTGTATATAATTTTTGGCTTTTATTTTATTATTTTAAGGTGCATGAGCTTCATGAAAAACAAAAGCAATTTATATGCATCAAAGAAATCAGTGAAACTCAGGAAAAAATGAGTGAACTAGAACAATTAAAAGAACAACTCAAAGGCAAAGATTCATCACTAGAAAATATCGAAAGCGAGAAACTCAAGTTAACTGAGAGACTTCAGAAGAGTCAAGAAGAAATAAAAATTATAATTAAGGAACGAGATGAACTGAAAAGGGTACTAGAAGACCTTCAAATGGAAAGAGACCAACTCAAAGAAAACATTAAAGAAATTTTAGCTGAAGTAAGTTTCCCTCTTCTAATGTTTTTTGGATACAAAAATTTTGTTAAAGTGATAATGATATTCACTGTCAAGTTTTAATTTTCCTCCATTAATAAAGAGACAGAAAATCACAGAGGAACTAAAAACTACTTACACTCTTCTGAAAGAGTATCAAGAAACTATGAGTACAAGGAATATTTCAGAGACGACAGATCAAGGAGCAAATACTTGGAGAGATTTAGAAAATTCAGATTCTGAATTAAGGGAAAAGGTAGGTCTTGTTAAGTTGGACATCTGACTATTGTATTTCTCACATCCCTATGGAAAACAGTGCATATATTAGACTAGATGTAAAGATGGTTGACTTAATTTAGAAAATCTCCTTTTTCTGTAAAAACTCTGCCTGTGTCTTAACTCGTTTTATGATTTTTTCAGATTCAAGACTTTCAGGGAAAAGAACATCACCTTCTTAAGATGAAAGCTATAAGTGATAGTCAGGAAAAAATCTGTGACATGGAATCCTTGAAGAAGCAACTTGAAACCCAAAAGTCAACTCTGGAAAATATAGAAATGGAGAACGTGAGGTTAACTCAGAGACTCCATGCAAACCTTGAAGAAATGAGATCTGTTACAAAAGAAAGAGATGACCTTAGGCATGTGGAGGAGACTCTCAAAGTAGAGAGAGACCAGCTAAAGGAAAACCTAGGAGAAACTATAATTAGAGTGAGTTACCATCTTTCCCCCTTCCCCAAAAGAATCATGAGCAGTGGGGTTTGTGGGAGTATAAAATTGGTCCAACCTTGGGGAAAGTTGAAGGGGGTACGGGGGCTATTTGGTAATATTTTCTAAATACTTTAGTAAGCTTATTCATTGACCCAAAAAGTTCAGTTGTAGCTATTTATCCTAAAAGTAACTTAGAGGATTAGAAGGCATAAGGAAGGAGGGAAATTTTTAATTTTTACCCTATACTTTTTTACACATTGTTAAAATTGTATTGCTCTGAATATATCATTTTTCTTTCTCGAATAATAAAGGACATGGAAAAACAAGAGGAGCTAAGAATTACTCACATGCATCTGAAAGAGTACCAGGAAACTATTGATGAACTCAGAGAAATTGTTTCAGAGAAAACAGATGAAATATCAAATATGCAAATGGATTTAGAAAACAAAAATACTGCCTTAAAAGCAAAGGTATTTTTTTTTAAGTTGTTACCTAAGTAACAGTTTAAATCAAGTCTTTTGTGCAGTGAAACAGACTAAATAAATTAGCCTGAAATTGAAGACAAGTAGAGATTTGCCTATATAATTTAGAAAATATTATTTAGCTTTTTATCAATATCTCTCTACATTTTAATTTATTGTATGATTATCTCAAGATCCAAGAACTTCAGGAGAAAGAACATCAACTTCTTAAGGTAAAAAACGATCTCAGGGAAAATATGTATCAAACAGAGCAATTGAAGAAGCAGTTGGAGGCCCGAAATTCAGCCCTGGAAAGTATAGAAACAGAGAAGTTACAGTTGACTCAGAAACTTCAAGAAAACCTCGAAGAAATAAAATGTATTACTAAGGAAAGAGATGGCCTAAGAAGAATGGAGGGAACCCTCAAAGTGGAGCGAGACCAGTTCAGGGAAAGCCTCAGAGAAACAGAAGCTAAGGTAAGTGTTACCTCTTCCTAGTGAGTAAACGTGTTTCTCTGACAACAGTGAACCCTTCTTCGATATAAACATACATAAGCACACGCTTAAACAACAGGTGGTTCGTTGTAGCAATTTGTAAAAAATGGGAAACAATTAAATGTCCACCAGAAGGAAACTGAATAAATGTGAGCAATATGTCTGAATACTATGCAACAGGTTTTTAAAAAATTAAATAGTTTTGAGTGTCTCATTTTGGAAGCCCAAAATAACTCTTAGTGGGAAAAGCAAGCTGTAGAATAGTCTGTGTATAATGTGTTTGCCTCTGGAAAGTAGGAGTAGATTTTGGGCAGGGCAGGGGAGGGAATGAGGAAGGGGAGAGGAACACTTATGACTTTCTAACAACAAAGATGTATTACTATTTTTATAAGAAAATTACTTTAATTAAAAAATACTAGTTAGAATAAGAAGTAATAGTTTTATTATCTTTACTAAGAAAATACATCACTTTCATTTAAAAAAATACTAATTAACATTAACATGTCGCTCTTCTTAAACTTTCTCTAATGATAAAGGACCTGGTAAAACAAGAAGAGCTATGAATTCCTTATATGCATTTGAGAGGGTACCAGGATCAACAAACTAGGAGGGATTGTTTCTGAGAAGACAGATGAAATATCAAATATGCAAATGGATTTAGAAAATTCAAACACTAAATTACAAAAAAAGACATGGGGTTAGGGAGTATTTGATTGATACCTGATTTATTAGTGCCTAAAATCCACTGCGGATGTAAAATAGTTTAGCCACATTAGAAAACAGCTTGGCAGTTTTTACTAACACTAAACATATAGCTGCCTGTGGCCCAACATTTCTACTCCTTTTTTATGTAAAAGAGTGCATACTTCAACATAAAGATATATACAGTATGTTCATAGCAGCTCTAATCATAAGAGCAAAATAACTGGAAACAAGTGCCTATCATCAGGAGAATGGAGAAGTACATTGTGATTTATGAGATCAAAAGCAGGCAAAACTCATCTAGGATGATAAAAGTTAGAATAATTGTTAGTTGCAAGACAAGACATGCAGGAACTCTATGGGATATTAGAGAGGTTCTGTACTTTAATCTGGGTTACAGGTACATTACATAATATATAGATGTATGACAAGAATATGAGCTATATAAAGAATAGAGCACTTACGTATATTACGCCTCAAAAGAAAATAATTTGTGTTGGAATTATGTATTCATAAGAGCGACTTGGGAAGACAGCTGTCTTAATTTAGAAACAATTCTTTATCCTTCCCTTAAAAGCATTCTGTATCCTAACATGTTATTTTTTAATAATCTTAAAAGATCCAAGAACTTAAGGAAAATGAACATCAATTTTTTAAGTTGAAAGAAGATGGCAATGAGACACAGAAAAAAATGTCTGAAATAGAGCGATTGAAGAAACAATTGAAAGCCCAGAGTTTAACTCTGGATAAAATAGAAATGGAGAACTTAAATTTGGCTCAGAAACTTCATGAAAACCTTGAAGAAATGAAATCTGTAATGAAAGAAAGAGATAATCTAAGGAAAGCGGAAGAGATTCTCAAACTGGAGAGAGACCAACTCAAGGCAAACCTACAAGAAATTGTAGCTAGAGTGAGTTATCCTCTTTCTTCTTATTCAATAAACATGTTTTTAATACAAGAAGCTTTTTTCTCTGAAAATAAATGATACTGTTGGTGAAAGATAAATATATCATTGTAGGGAGACAGTTTGACAATATCTTATTAAAAATTTATCAACATGTGAATTTGCTACAGCAATTTCACTTCTAGGAATTTATCCTACCAATATATTCACAAATTTGGGCAGAAATACAACAGCGTTTACTGCATCATCGTGCAGAACAAAATCTAGAAGCAATCCAAGTGTCCATCAATAAGGCACTTGCTAAATGAAGGTTCATCTGTATAATGGAATACTAAGTGTATGATTGGGGCATGTGATATTGATTTGAAAGAAGTAGTATGAAAGGTGAAAAGTAAGTGGCAGAGTTCAACAGAGATCAGGACTGGGATGGATAAGGGTTGGGACAGGAACTTTTACTTTATATCTTTCTGCACTGTTCTAATTTGGAGGTGGTATTGTGGTTGTTTTTAACTATAAGCGTGCATTTTTAAAGATTTTGTTTAACTAGTTCATCATTAAGAAAAGGTAATGTGCTTTTATACCATATTTCTCAACTTCTTCTAATAATAAAGGATCTGGAAACACAACAGAAACTAAAAATTGCTCGTATGCATTTAAAAGAGCACCAAGAAACTATTGATAAATTCAGAGAGAGATTTTCAGAAAAAACAACTCAGATTTCAAATATTCAAAAGGATTTAAGTAAATCAAAAGCTGAATTAGAGAAAAAGGTATATGTTGTTTTGTTCTTTTGAGAATGTCCAGAATTACTTGTAGAAAGAGAAAGGATATAGATACAGATATGTAGACATAGATATACATGTACATATAACAAATAGATGTTAATTTCTTTCCTTGAAGGAATTCTGTTCACATTCTAACTTGTTTTATAATTATCTCAAGATGCAAGAACTTCAGAAAAAAGAGCTTCAACTTCTTAAAATGAAAGAAGGTGTCAATAAAATTCATAAAAAAATGAATGAAATGGAACGATTGAAAAAGCAATTTGAGGCTCAAAACTTATCTATGCAAAGTGTGGAAATGGATAACTTACACTTGGCTATGAAACTTCATGAAAGCCTTGAAGAAATAAGAATTGTAGCTAAGGAAAGAGATGAGCTAAGGAGGATAAAAGAGTCTCTCAAAACGGAAAGAGACCAATTCAGAAAAACCTTAAGAGAAATAATAGCTAGAGTGAGTTCAGAATCTTCCCTATGTAGTAACTATTTATAAGAATCAAACTTTTTTGGAAAGGGTAACAGTGGTTTGTTTTGTCATTGTCGTTTTTTCTGGGAATGTCTACAAACAGTAAAGGATGATGGGGAAACTATAACTAATTTTTCATATAGATAGGAAATATAGTTTTAAAAGAATTCAAAATGTTTTTTAGAAAATAGTATTTTAATTATTTAGTTTTAAGAAAAGATTTGTTAAATAAAGCAGACTTTTTGCTTCAGTGTAATTTTTTAAAGGGTTTTAAAACCGAGAAATAGCATTATTCTCAATGGAGAAATATTTGAAGAATTAAATTCATAAAAGATTAAATACCCCATTTTACTGCCTCTACATGATAGTGTTTTATTTATTTATTTATTTGTTTGTTTGTTTGTTTTTTTAGGCGAGGCAACCCTTGGTTGACCTCACAGATTGCAAGGACCTTGTCAGCTTACAATCCTTTATTTTTTTATTTTTTACACCTACAGCACCTGGTCTTCCTAGGTGGTCTCCCATCCAAGTACTAACAAGGCCTGACCCTGCTTAGCTTCTGAGATCATACGGGATCGGGCTTGTTCAGGGTGACATGGCCTTAGACTTCTATATGATGGTGTTTTACACATGGGTTCTTATTAGTGAAGTTAGAAGGGGAATAGGCAAGATGAATATAAAAAAGGAAGTTCTGTTTTAGTATAACTATTTAAACTGAATATCTAAAAAGTAGCAAAATTCATATAAGCAAGAAATTGTATAAAATCTATAAAAATATTTTTCATTCTCATACTTCAAGAATAAAGTGGAAAACAATGTCATTTGCAATCTCAGTGAAACATCAGACACTTGGGAATCATCTTTATGTTGACCCTAACTCAATTTATAGAGATTTAAATCATTAACAAATATTTTTGAATAGTTAGTCATTCTTGGAACTGCAGTGACAAGATAAACAAATGGAAGAAATGTTTTGTTTTGTACTTTTAATCAGAAATACAAAATGTATTTTCTGTTCCAAGGTACTAGGAAAAAATAAATGAATAGGGCTTGGAGCCTATTGAGTTAGTTAAAAGCGCAATATTTAATTCCATTATTGAAACTTGATATAAAATATGTCATAGAAAAAGTATGAGTAGACATTACCTGTGAATGTAGTTATAGCTGAAGCCTTCTTTTTTCTTTTTGTCAAAACAGGACCAACAGAACCACAAAGAGGTAGTACAATATGAAAAAAAGGTACTGTGTGATGGAAAACAGCACCTTATAGAAAGCCTGAGAGAAAAGTGCTTTAGGATAAAAGTAAGTGCCCCCTGTTAATATTACAAATAAATACTGGTACCCTTCAAAGACCTATGGAGTAAAAGGAAACTGGAATGAATAGATAATGCTCATATGTTTCTAAGCTTTCTGGTGCAGGTACGTATGTGTGCATATATACACAGACGTACAAACACAATAGAGGCTTTTGATTTTAAGGCCTCAACTGCTAAGGTGGTATTTGAGCAAATACCTGAAAGAGGTGAAGGATCAAGCCATACAGGTATCTGCGAGGCAAGCAATATAGAAACCTCCTGCAGCAGAGCCTGCCTGCTGGGTTCCAGAACATCAAGAAGGGGGAAAGTTAATGAGAAATAAGGGCAGAGAATGAGAGGAGGCAGGCTGTGGGGCCTTAAAATTACTTTGGGTTTTACTCTGAGGGAGATGGAGATCCATTGGAGAGTTCCAGCCATGGGAGAGACATGATCTGACTTACGACTTAACTTTTAACCCTTTTCCCGTTGAGAAAAAAAAAGTGCAGCTCGCTGCCAGTATTAATTTAACATCACACATAGGAATGCTACATTTTCTAGAATTTGACATTTTCGGGGCTTGAGAATTACTATATTTTGTAAATGGAAATACCGTTACTCAAAACAGAATGCTGTAAATAGAACGATGTCATTTGTTTCTAAAGACTATCAGTATACTAGAGAGATGCAAAAATAATAACAAAAGCGAGATCTTTCTTGGCAAACTTTGGGGGTAAGGTTAGGGCTGTATTACGCGAGTTATCTCGGGGTAAACGCTGCAGCCACAAGCACCACCGGCAAGTATTCTTGGGGCAAACAGGAAATGGGTTAACATTTTAAAGTGATGACTCTGACTGTTGTGTTGAAAATAGAGTGGGAGTAAGAAGGCGATTTGTCATCCAGGCAGAGATGGTGGCTCGGCTAGGAGAGGCAGCAGTGGAAGTAGAAGTGTTTGGATTCTGTATATTGAGAGTAAAACCAAAAAGATTTACTGATACTCCTATTACAATGCAAGGTCCCTAAAGACTTTTTTGTGTTGTTTATGGCTATACCACTTAGCACATTTTTGACAGAAGTCAACCTTCAATATGTATCTATTAAAAGTACAAATGAATGATTATACAGTACTGCTCCATGCCATAATGTGATTGATCATAAGGCCACAGGCAGGAATCCCCTCTCCAGCATTTCAGATTAATGAACATCTGTCCAGCTTTTTCTTAAATTACGAAAAAGAGAAGTCATTATTGTTAGAAGCCCCTTATTCTGGCTTTTAGCACCTGAAGTAATAAGCGCATGTTACTTATTAGATGGTTGTGGGGACTTGAACCTAATGTGTCCCTCCACTTGTGCTCAAACCAGAGTCACCTGTCTTGCCTTTATTCATTTGAGCTGATGGAATGTCTTCCACATGCCAGGCACTGTGCTTGGTACTTTACCCTATGAAAGAGATTTTATTGCTCAATTTGTAAACAAAGAAACTGAGTTTCAGAGAGGGAGTTTAGTAGTTGCCCAAGGCACATAGCTAGTAAGTTGGTAGAATCAGGATTTGAAACCAAGTCTAAGTTTAAACTTGGGTATGGAAGCTTTTACAAATGTAATTTTACTTCCTTTAATGTATAATGTGTGCAAATATTTTATAGATTACATAGATATATAGATATTATGTAATATTTTATTTATTCCCCCTAGGAAGCTCTGTGGCAATTATTGTAGTCTTCATTTTGCAGTTGAGAAAATGTCTCAGTGATTTTCTCAGTCAGGAAGTGGCAGCATTAGAACCTGAACTCTTTGATGAAAAGTTAGAAAGCTCAGATTCTAGGCAAATAGAAAGGTGTGAAGAGGTTATATACCAAGCTAGCAGATGGCCTGTTTGATTCTTAGTCACTTCTTTCATCTGATAACTCACACTGCCTACTGTAAACATAAGCCACAATTCAGCCTTGAGATACAATACATGCTAGATTGAGTTCGCTCACATTTCTATTCACTTTGTAGAAGCTCCTTCAAATCCTGAATGTTTAAAAGACTAAAAAAAGTTTCAAAATGATAACAATGGTTGTTTCTGGTTTTCTTTGTTATATTTGTTTAAATTTGTTTAATTTCCACAATAATTATATATTATATAATCCATAATCAACAATAAGTTTCCTTTTTTTTTAAACACAAAAAAAATTTATTACTCTTTTACAGAAAATGTTAAAGCGTAAGTTTTGTTGCAATTCTAAGGCTAGAACTATTTCTGTTAAATTCTAATGATTTGTTAAATTGAACGAATTCTAATTTTCTTTAGGAGCTTCTGAAGAAATACTCAGAGATGAATGATCATTATGAGTTCTTACATGGATTGTCTTTTGACTTGGAGAAGGAGATTGAAATCCAGAAAGAGCTTTCAATTAAAATAAAAGCAAACCTCTCACTTCCACATCAACAGAACAAACACATTCAGAAACTTCTCACTGTAAACCAAAGGTGTTCCATGGAATTCCATAGAGTCATGAAGAAACTTAAGGTACCACCCTTTTAGTAATATTTTTGCAAATACTGCCATAAATTTTACAAACTTCAGTGTATTTAAATCCTGATTTGGGGTTGGCATATTTGCTACTTAGTGTGTTGACTACCGAATTAAAGATTGTTTGGGTCTAAAAATTGTATATGCAAGATCCTCAGTGCACCTAGAACCTGGTCATTCAGCAAAACCTGGGCTCTGCCTAGACACTGTGTCAAGGTGCTCAGGAGACAGGTATGAACAGCATTTCCAATATCTAATAGTCCAGTGGGTGAGGCAAACATATAAAGAGGTAATAAGTGAAAGAGGTAATAAGAGGTAATAGTGATAGAAGTATGTGCAGGTTATATGACATACCAGGAAAAAAGTTAAAGAAGTTAAGACTGAAGTGGAAGACGGACTCTGGCAATAAAGTTTGGATGGAGTTTGTCTGTAGATGATGGGAAGCCACTGGACAGTTATGTCAAGTGATGGCAATAACATGATCAGATTGCCATTCTAGATACTTCACTACAGACAAAATATAAATGAGTTTGCTTGGGATAAGCCTAGTGGCAGAGAGAACAGGATAGCTGCAGTTAAAATTGTCTAGATGACATATGGTGACTATACTATTTGGGAAGGATTCCTAGGCATGGAAAGGATAAAAGAAATTAAAGAAATATTTAGCACCTTAAAATAGTGGGTCTGTGTGATTGATAGTGGAGGTAAGGGAGAGCAGTTGAGATTGTATCCCAGGATTTGGGCTTAGCCAGGTCTGTGCGTGGTGATACCGTTAACTGACATAAAGAAAAAAGAAGAAGAGGAGCAAGGCAGGTGCGGCAGGAGGAGATACCAGGTGTCTAGTTTGAAATGTTTTAAGGTAGAAATACCTATGACGGACCATCCAAGACTAGGAACCAAGTAGTTTTGAGCTGTGAATCTGAGGTTTGCTAGAACTAAAAGTAAAGATTTGGGATTCATGTAGGTGATGGATAATATATGTGAGGTCACCTAAAAAGCATAGTAGAGGAATAAGAGCCTTGAAATAAGAAGAGAACTCTGGAAAAGATAAATATTCAAGAGGCAGTAGTTAAAGAGACAGGAGAAAACCAAACAAAGGTGTTATTATTACTCAGGTCAGTGGAGGAGAGTATGTCCAAGAATTCAGATAGCCAGAATATGGACCGAAGAGATCTCCTCAGTGTGTTGATAATAGATCTCATTGGTAACCCTTGTCAGAGCAGTTTTAGTTGCGTGGTTAAGAGGCCAAATTCTAAGAGGTTAAGGGATAGTGAAGTTGGGGAAGTAGGGAGCTATCATCTGCACTACTCAGTTAGATTGCCCTTCAGGCTCTGATAGACTTCTACAAATCCTGACAATGTGATATCCAGAATTTATTCATGAGGCCCATGGAACATATAGCATTCAAATTATTGTCACCTTGAAACCAGACATCTAAATATGCTTGAGGCATGGCACACCCATATTGGTCACCACACCAAGGCAGGCAGAAGAAGATGTTGAAAATGAATCTCAGGTGTCTAAGTGGGAAACCTGGGTGATTGGTGATATAATTAACCAAAAAAGGGAACAACAAAGAAAGGTGGGTTTTTAGGGGAAAAGATCATGTTACATTTTAAACGTATCGAATCCAAGATTCTTGTAGGACATCCATGAGGTATAGCCAGTAGGAAATCAGAAATAAAGAACTAGCAGTTATTCTTTCAAGATGCTGAGAGAAGAAAGTTGGGGATATAGAAAAGCTCTTTCCTTCCTCTTCACTTAGCAGAGGATATAGATAAACAAGAGATGCCATCCCACCTTTAGTCTTGAGGGTTCAAAACAGCCTTCAAATGTGATAAAAGTTTCATTTCCCAATTTGTTTCTCTGCAAGTATGTGTTAAGCCATGTTATAATGACAAAGGAAGAACAACATGATTCCATCAATAAATTTGAAATGCTTTTGATTGATGAAGTGGAAAAGCAAAGTGAACTGCTAGTTAAAATTCAGCATCTTCCACAAGATTATGATGTACCATCCAGAGAATTAAGGGACCTCAAACTGAGCCAGAAGATGGATCTACATATTGAGGTATAATTTAATTTAAATGGATTTAATTAAATTGTAAGCCTTTTTATCACTAGAAAGGTACCTTTTCATGTGGTTAAAGCATTTACATTTACCAAAAATTAAAAATAGGTTACAGATTGACAACAGGCCAAATGTAAAGAGTGCCAAGTGATAGACTAGACAAGCCTCATTTCAGAACTCCACAGATACTGAAAAATAGACTTAATATTAGCAAGTGGGAATTTATGGAACTCCAGAATAGTTCTAACCGTCTTCTGAAACTTCCTAGACCTGTTGATTAGGAGTCAGAAACATTTTTATTGCAACTCCACATGGAGTATCCTGCTCTCAGCCAACACTGAGGCTGGCTTCTAATTCTTAACACACATGTAAGGGCTGCTGTCTGCATAGAAAAGCTACATCCAGAAGCACTTTACATATTGTAATTATTAGTCACAGATTTATAGTTTTGACAGGTTTTAATTCTAATAGGCAGAATTTGTAGATGTGCCTCTATTATGTAGCATATATTGCCAAAATTTTATTATTCAAATAACTAGAATAAGTTTTAAATTAGAACTATATTTCTGATATGATTAGAATAATTAACACTATATCTACTTCACAATATTAGGAATGAACGTTTAGTTAGGCATTTTCCCATTTTGATGTTTGTATGATAGAAAAAAACTTTCCTAATGTTCAAGCAATTCAGTAATTACTTTTTAACACAGGAAATTCTCAAAGATTTTTCAGAAAGTGACTTCCACAGCATAAAGACTGAATTTCAACAAGTACTAAGTAATCGGAAAGAAATGACTCAGTTTTTGGAAGAGTGGTTGAATACTCATTTTGATATAGAAAAGCTTAAAAGTGGCATCCAGAAAGAAAATGATAGGATTTGTCAAGTGAATAACTTCTATAATAACAAAATAATTGTAAGTAGTAATTTTTATTGTGCTCCATTGTTCTTTTGGTTGTTGTTTGCTTTAATTTTTCTACCTCGTTCTTAAAAGGACTTAGAGCAACTGGATTTTAATTATGTTTTCTTTCATTTATTCATATATGCTTTGTGAAAAAGATTGACTGTGTAAAGCATGTTCTTTCTCTGACATGTTATACTTCCTTAAGATACTTAAACATCTCAATTTATACTTGTAAAGAAGGTAACAAAATCTTAATGTATAATAGTTTCTACTTGTGAAACCCTTGAATCCTCTTGCCTTTCTTTCCTTTCTCACTTCTCACTGCTTCTGTAGGAATTGAGCCTTTTCCTCAAGTAGTCTCGGGCAAGGTGAGAGAGATCCTGTTTAAAGGTTACAGGCAGCAACTGTGGTAAAGCCATAAACAAAACTGGTGAGCTACTTTAGTAAGGCTTTTCATCTCAGTGGGTCACTATCATATGCTGTCATCCTTCAGCTTGAGGTTCAAAAACATAGTTTGTATCATTGTTCCCAAGGTGATCAACCGTAGTAGACAGATTCATAAGAACCAACATTGCTTAAGAGCAGTGTATTAATTCGTTTTACTTTCCACTGATCAGAATATTAATTCTGCTTTCTGAAGTAATCCCTACTTTACATATCTGATAAAGTATGTAGTAATCAGAAAGTTACTCGTTATATATGCAGATGGACTAGATTAATATTATAGCTTCTAAAATTGGTTTTATATTTCATGTGTTTGAGTAGTTCTTTCCTGACACTTTAATTTCATCTGGAAATTATACTTAAATAACAGTGAAATATAGTTAATATTTAATGGATAGTTAATCCCATTTGTTGAATACCTGAAGCTAACAGAATAGTAAATGAACTTAAAAAAAAAGTCCACAAACAGTAGAGAAAGGCATAAAACCAATGTTTAGATAAAATAATCTCCATGTAATTCAGAGTTTTTCTTGCAATATTGAGGGGCCCAGTTGTGATTAGAAAGTAGAGATTTCTATCATGTGGATCAGTATTTGTGTGGCGTCGTCTAGCACCCTGAGAGTTGAAATTGGCAACTGGGTATGGTGTGAAGTCAGCAGTCCAGAGCCAAGGAGAGTCCAGGGTGCCAGCAAGAATACAACTAATTCAGGTCCAAGTCTAAAAGAATAACCATAAAGCCACAAAGTTGTAGATAAGGCCAATAAGGCATTCGTAATGAGAGCAAAACGAACATCTCATACAAATTAGGGATTCGTAAAAAAGATGAGTAATTTCAGAGTTAGTTAGCCTTTGATATAAGAGACGTGTTGATTGTTATTCCCTGCACAGAAATATCACATTTTCAGATTAATTACCAAGTCAGTGAATTCTTTTCCCTGTAGACACTGAGGTTTACAATGAAACAGAAAAATTGGTGGTTGTTAAGTTTACTGGGTGTGCTCTGCTCTTAGATATCAGTTAAGGCTTTGTTATTAGCTATAACATAAATAAAGACTCCACAGTTCTTCAAATTCCTCTTCATAGGTTAGTACTAATCTAGCAGCGAGATTATCCTCTTGCAAATTAATCTGAATCCTCTCCAGTCCTTATTCTTCTTTCATTTTCATCATCAATATCTTCTGAAATTTTAGGAACTCACACAAACCACAAGTAATTTTCACATTCTTTTATGTTCCTTACATACTGTTCTAGAATGCTCTGAAAATGAATTTCAACATATACCTTGTCCTAGAATTCTAGTATTTTTTGTTTTTTTAAATACGTTATTCATTTTAAACCTGTAATGGTATTTTTATTATTCAATAGGCTATAATGAATGAATCAACAGAGTTTGAGGAAAGAAATGCTACCCTAGCTAAAGAATGGGAATGTGACCTGAAATTAATAAGAGAGAAAAATGAAAAACTATTTACAAACTACCAAACTTTGAAGCTCTCTCAGACATCTGGTGCCCTTGCTAATCCTACTACACAAGATGATAAGAATCTTCATGTTATATCAAGAGCCACACAACTAACCACAGAGGTATGTAATTTTTTATATTTTTCAATTTGTAGCTTAATCACAGAGTTAAAGATGAATCCAATATAATATTTCAAAGTGGAATTATAGTATCAATTGTATTTATTAAGGAACATGGACCATCTTTATGTGTGTGTGAGATGGGCTCATTTTTAAATATAGTTCTATTATGATTGTCACTCAACTAAATTAATTATATAAGGTCTTCTCTTTGGCTTATAAGACAGAAGTAACTCAGCTTAATTTGAATAATAGATATGTATGCCATTTAAAGTATTATTGTCCTACATTATACATTTCCCTAATTCATGTGACTTTCTATTTAGCTACAATCTGTATGTATACAGAACTAGCTTAGAGGGAAAGCAATTTAGCATCAATATTTTTAATATTGGTTAATATTGAAATAAAAATAAAAATATAAGAGGGTAAAAATATAACAGATTTCTAATGCAGATTAACTTGTGTCCAAAAATTAGTACATTATTTGAATAATTCAGTTACTTTATTAACTACTCTCAGGAGTCTGTAAAGCAAATATACTATTTTATTTTGTTAGCCTACAGAATGATTTAATGGATAACCCAAGAGTAAATATATCATTTTTACCAAAATAAATACTTATAAATTATCAGCTACACAATATCATCGGAAACTTGAAGAACTCAATTATATAATTTATTGTTTAGCTGACCACTACAGACTACTTCAGTCGGCTGGTAGAGATAAAAATAGTGGAACTATGAAACCCATCAACCAAAACAATAAGATAAAGAAGCAGAAGGAAATTCTATCTTCAGTGACCCAAGGAAAAGACCCTACCAAATAATAAAGTATATGCTCTTAGTTTGGTACTTAGGCCGAATTAGAGTAGCATTGAGTAGTTTAGTAATGGTACAGGAATAGACAAATAGAACAATCGAACAGAATAGAGAGTTCAGCAGTAGACTCAAATAATTTTGAGAATTTAGCACATAATAATGGTAACATTCAGCTCAGTAGGGAAAAGACGATTTACTTAAATACTTGATTCAGAACAACCAGATAGCCAACTGGCAGAAAATAGGTCTGGATTCTTATTTCACTCATTGAACAAAAATAAATTCCAAGTAGGCCAGAAAGAAACAGACACTCTGGAGGAAAATCTACATGAGTGTGCATGAGAATAATCTTATAAACACGAACAAATTCAAGTATGTTTATACTTGCAAAAAATTGGAAATAACTTAAATGTTTATTAATCAGTGATGGATTAACTAATTTATGCTATTTCCATGAAACAGGATGTAAATATCCATGAAAACAAAAATATAAGAGATCTATATGTGTTGATAATGGAAAGATCTGGAAAATATACTGTGAAGTTAAAAAAAAAAGCAGAAATAAATATATTTAGCATGCTTCTGTTGTTGTATATGGCTGTTTTTATAAACTGTATATTCATATATGCTTAGATACACATGAAAAATTTCTGGAAGGATATACTTAAAAGTATTTAGTAGTCATTGCTTTAGGGTCGACTGGGGGTCTGAGGTGAGAAAACTTACTCTTTATTGTATGCCTTTGAATTTTTCCATCGACTTGTGTTTTTCAGTTTAAAATCTAGATAATAAAAATAAAGGGAAACGTATGTTACGTATTAAAGAGTCAGTTAACAAATGTACTTTAAGTAATGTTAATTTAAAATGTGAGCGCCAATTTAATATGCTTAGTGCTGTGCTAATAAGTAACTAAAATACTAAAAATTATAATTTACAATTTGGGCATTTTTTATTCCAAAAATCACCAGCTTCTCAATGAAAAAAATATTACTTGTATAAATCGAGTGAAGCTCGGCTTCTATTCTTTGTTTAATGCATTCTGTGAAAAATCAATACCTATATATCATCATCTTTGTCTTAAACTTACATACTGTGATTCTGCCTTTATGTCAGACTTTATATGTGTGTGTTTTTTCTGATAGAAAATTCAAGAGCTGCAAACTTCACTACTTGAAGCCAAAGAAAGTGCCTTGCGTAAGGATGCCAAGATTATAACGATGCAGAGAGAACTTGACATGACTAATGACATAATAGCAAAACTTCAAGCTCAAGTTAATGAATCAAATAAACGCCTTGAGAAAACAAAAGAAATGATCCAAGTACTTGAGGTAACTTAAACTCATTTTATAAAGGGTTTTTTTCCTTTTTCTGTTGAATTTGGCAGAGCATTTGGGTCCCTAATCTTTTATTTCAACTTCCTATTACTATATATGTTTCAAGTTCAGTACTCAAGCTTCGAAAAAGTAAGTGACAGCTTAGAAATGAAATGGGGGAGGTGTGTTTTCATGCAAAATAATGATTATTTTTTTATCTTCTTAGAAAAATTATTTTTTAAAGACATAAATAATATTCTTTATACTTTAAGACGTATGATCATTTTTAAAAAAATGATTCTTATCTAAATATTTAACACTCCTTGTTAGATAAGTACATTAAAAAAATTTTTTTTCTATTTAATACCCCTGTTATTGAGTCCCATCTGATAGGCTGCGGGCTGAACCTGATCTGTTTTCTCTTAAAAGAACAGTCATTTCAATGAATGCCATTATAGGTTACACCCTGGTTCATCACATCCTTACCAATCCCTTTTTTTTAGCCCCAGTCACTTCTCAGAATGCTATTTGAGTCTGACCCTAATAGACATTTAAGTTTGCTATTGTGTGGTTCCAGTGTCTCTTCATTCCAGTTAAAATTAGAAACAAGTTAAGAATGTCTGTTCTTTTCATTATTTAACATTTATTCAAGGAGACATTATCCATTAAAAAAGATTTTTATATGTCCATATATGTTTATATATGAATGATTTTTTTTCTCTGAGCGGAAAGTAGATATATTTATGTCAGTGGATTAAATAATCTTTGAATACAAAATATCCCCAATAATGCTATATAATACTTTGTGCCTTGAATTTAGATCTAGTTTTATATTGTTGTACTGACATCTTTCTCATTTTCCTGACTACCTTTATCTACCCATTTTATTATTTTCAACCTTTCTGTTTTATTTTGTTTATATCATTTTTTAATTGGGAAAGAATTTGTTTTAAGGAACAAATTATATGTTCTCCCATTACGTATTAGCTTCCAATAGCTTTAAATATACATACTTCACATCAAATATCTTTTTGTTAATCATTTTAGAGTTAAAATTTGTGCCTCTCCTACTTCTCATATATTTAGAGTTTGCTGTTTTAAAATATTCCTACCAGATGAAGGCAGTTCACAACTCTTTGAAATACCTCTAAAATTATTTTATTTCATTTTCTCTAAAAAATTTAGGATAAAGTTGCTATAGGAGCTAAACCTTATAAAGAAGAAATTGAAGATCTCAAAACAAAGCTGGTGAAAATAGACCTAGAAAAGATGAAAAGTGCCAAGGAGTTTGAAAAGGAGTATGTCTTTGCCTTAATTAAACATAATTTTAATACCTTAAAACTTTTTTAATTATATAAATTTCTTTGCATTAGTTACCTTTTTAAAATATCTGAAAATATTATTGCTTTTTAAAAATAAATACAAACATTCACAGATTTTTAATTTATTAAATTCTCCATACCAATGCAAAGATTTTAAAAATAAGTACAATTCTGATCAATTACTAACACACTATGTCTTTGGATGCTTCTTACTTAGTCATAAACAGCATAAAAATGGCCTTTTTGTGCTCAAAAGTAAATGTTAAACACTATGTCTTTGGATGCTTCTTACTTAGTCATAACCAGCATAAAAATGTTCTTTTTGTGCTCAAAAGTAAATGTTAAGAACGTACATGTGTGCGTGCTTGTGTGTGTGTGTGTGTGTGTGTGTGTGTGTGTTTAGCAGTTCTACTAAGTTTTTGTTAGGTCTCTTAATTTCATTTGTTTCTCCTACTGTTTTTGTGTAAAGGTTGTATTTCCTTTGAAATGATAGCACCTAATGCCCAAGAGCATATCTTCTTTTTATTGATATATTGACATATACTACTATACATAATAGCATGCCTAAAGTTCTCTGTAGTATAGCATAATAAAAAGAACATTAAACAGAGTCAGGGAAACTGAATTAGAAATATAATGTTGCCACTTACTAATATATCACTTTATGCAGGTCGTTTAGTCTCTATGCTCTGCACATTCGTAATCAATAAAAGGATAGGTTTGTACTAAAGGATTTCTTAAGATCCCTTCTGGTTCCTAACACTTTTTATTCTTTCTGTAAGTCTTTAATAAATATTTAATGATGACATCTAATTTTGCTTAAAAAGTAGTACTCTCAATCTTCATGCATTCTAACTAGCCTTCCATTGGTAAGACTTGGTTTTAATAAAACTATATAAGTTCTTCATTATAAAAGCAATTTTACTTATAGAATAGAATCAGCAGATACTTTCGGTCACTAAAAAAGGCAGAAAATCTTATAATTTACCATTACTGGTTAATGCTTAAGCCAATAATTCATGAAGTGCTATACAGTGCCTCTTAACAACTGGGGAACAATGAGCAGTATTTGACCAGAGCTGCAGCCAGAGTTTACTTTACTGACAATGTAGAAAGGAAGCTGCTTTTTGGTTTCATGCTCTGGTAATTGTTGGGCCTTCAAGATATTTCTAAGATTTCGTAGTAACAGCTCAATTACTTATTTTATGGTACTTTTGAATATAATTTTGCTCAATATCTAATTAATAGCTATTAAGCTTCCAGAAATTTAAAAAGAAATAGTTTCTTAATGTTAAAAACATTGCCCCTAATACTACAACAGAATACTTCAAATTTTGACAGAGTTATACTACAAAGTGTATGATACCAGGGGTGTATCATGAGGACTTGCTTATCTATTGCTATTTATGGATATTATGTCAATGTGATGTATTTTACTAGAAAATTCTTTACAGCAGATCTGTTTATTCCAATAAAAGTTGTTGGGCTCTTACATATTTCTATTGTTCTTATTAGAATTGCTTCCACAAAAGCCGCTGTAGAGTATCAAAAAGAAGTTATAAGGTTATTGAGAGAAAATCTTAGAAGAAGTCAACAGGCCCAAGATACCTCAAGTAAGTGGAAAATGGTGGTATTTGCAGATCGTTTCCATTTTACTTCTCCATACACTTATACCTTTTGATGACTACTATTATATATGCGACAGTCAAGAATAAACCTAGGTTAATCACTAATACCCTTGTAGAAGGGTAGAAAGAACTATTTTTAAAATGAATTTATTGTGATTATATTTATCCTGTGATATCTCCTTAGTTTTACCATGTCAACTGTTTATCCATTATGATTCTTGAAAAATATGAATTTTACCTTTGCATTAGCAGATCTTTACACATTAGTACAGATACCTTCAGTACAATGAAAGAATGATTTAATTATCAAGGTAGAAGTACCCTTCCCAATAAAAATCCAAGCACGTCTTAATAGGTTTTAATGATATGCACAGTAAAAGTATAATTAGTGCATGATAAATATAGTAAATACTATTTCACTTGTTCTTAATACTGAAAATACAAAGTTGATGCTTACTTATAAACTGTTTAAAGTTTATCTTAGTTACAGTTTTCAAATCTAATGATCAAATTTCTGCATATACATTCCTCAAACTATACCTTTTTCCATGTTTCTGTTTCCTGTGTTTCATCTTATAGGAGAGAACGCTGAACACTACTTGGGGCAGCTTTGTGTGGTAGAACAAGCATTGAAGTAAAAGTTAGGGCAGGTCTCTCAACTGATTACCCTCACTTAACAGCTATGAGAAATCATAGGGACCACACCTAACCTTCTAGCAGATAGACACACACACACACACAGACACACACACACAGACACTTGTTATAAAGATCAAACTAAAAGCAGTATGTTAAAGCACACTGAAATTACTAAATGTCAAACAGATGTAAGATGATATTGGTGTGTATTGTTGTCTATTAAAAAAAATAGCAATAGTGTTTAAAGATGTTGTCTAGTGCATATTTAGTTTGAACATTCGTAGTGTCTAGCGCAGCTCCTAGGAATAAAAATAGAACCAAGAACTTTGTTGTTGCAGAACAGTCAGAAAAATGACTCTTGATTGTAAGTGATTTTCAGTTACATATTGTACCTGCATTTGAAATAATTCAAAAGAAAACGAACATTGAGTATTTTCTCTACACAAGCCCCTCACATTTTTATGCAATTTTAATTAAGATTTGCAAAACAATTCCTTATACTGCTTTTACACACATGGTATAGAATATATAATAATATCAGGTTTGTTTAGCTCACAAGGATTTGTTGAGTAATGGTAGTGCACTGAATGACCCTACACACGCACTCTGTGTCAGAAGAAATCCTCCAGTGAAGCCACTGATGTAGTGGGTAGATCAGTGAAGGACAACTCTAACTAGAGAGAGTTGCTACTGCTGCAACCATGGTGAAAGATCTTAGCAGGATTATGGTAGTGGAATTGGTGGGTAGACAGTAGCAGAATGATTCTAGAGATATATAGAACTGGTGGCGAGATAGGCATGGAGGTCAGGCGGAGGAGGAAGTCAGGGATGACTCCTGGGGAGATGACAATTAAGATATGTCGAGTTTTATAATGTACGTATTTTATGTAGTACTGTTTCCTTTATTTTGAACTTTGGATCTATCTGTGCATTTGCTTCCACAGTGATATCAGAAAATACTGATCCTCAACCTTCAAATAAACCCCTAACCTGTGGAGGTGGCAGTGGCATTGTGCAAAGCACAAAAGCTCTTATTTTGAAAAGTGAATATGTACGACTAGAAAAGGAAATTTCTAAGTTAAAGCAGCAAAATGAACAGCTAATAAAGCAAAAGAATGAACTATTAAGGTAAGACGTGCTGAAATGATACAGAAATTATTCTTATGTCTGTTACGTGTGGGGTATGATAATATATACACATACACATGTATTTTTTTGCAGTTAGCAACCCTTCACACATGGAGAAAGTAATTTTTAGCACTCACATAATGTGTCTTTTTAAAAAGGAATAAGAATATGGTAGCATATTCTAGATATTTGCTATCTGTCAACTGACCTGTTTTTAACTAAGTCAAGAACCAGGATGTAAACAGAGGTCTTTGAGAGGGCAGCTAAAAATACACCACAAGTCCATATACCCAAGTCAGTGAGACCTTCCTCAAAAGAGAGCCCCTCATGTCTGTTACAGCCTATTTTCCTGTATAAACAGTCCTAACAGAATTATTTGGCTTCTACCAAAAATAAGAATCTTGTGCTAATCTCTGCTAATAATATAGTAGAAGAAAAATAGACATTAAACAATTACGCAAATAACTAATTCTTTCTAATGAGTGCTATTAAACAACAACAACAAAAAATAGAACATTATGAAAGGGTATAATAAAAGGATCAAACCTTATCTAAGCATGGGGAGGGGTGGCGATTAATATATGAGTAGAACTGCAAAATAAGTAAGTACCAGTGAGGCTAGGTGAAAGGAGAGACGGATAAGCCTTGTAGGCCTAGGGAACATGAGCACAGGCTTTGAGTAGGTGGAACTAAGAGACAATCAGTGTGGCCAGAGCATAGAGAATGAGACCCAATAAGTTGCAAGATGCGATGCCAGAGGTAACTGGCCCAGATTCCACAGGCCCTTATGAGTCATTCTGAGGAAGTTTGGGTGGTATCCTAAATGAAAGGGGGAACCCCGTATAGGAATCTGTTGTAGTCAAGGCCAAAAGAAAAAAGAAAAAAAAGAATGGTGACAATGGGGATTAAATGTGGAGATGAATTTGAGAGACAGGTATGATGGTTGTATCAACAGACTTGGCTGACTGATAAAGGAGAGCAGGGCCTCGAGGATTGCTTCCCAGGTTTCTCCCTGGAGGAACTAGATAAATGCCGGTGGCATTTCCTGTAAGAAGCAAAACTATAACTAATCTGGAAAATCAGTGTAATATTTCTTTTAAAACAACAAAGGTACATTAAAGATTCATCTCTCCAGTCTAGAGCCATGCCACCCTGAACGTGCCCGATCTCGTCTGATCTCAGAAGCTGAGCAGGGTTGGGCCTGGTTAGTACTTAGATGGGAGACCACCTAGGAAGACCAGGTGCTGCAGGCGTAAAAAATGAATAAATAAGGGATTGTAAACTGACAAGGCCCTTGCAATCTGTGAGGTCAACCAAGGGTTGCCTCACCAAAAAAAATTAAAAAAAAAAAAAGATTCATCTATCTAGAAGACTAATTTATCAATAGAGAAAGCACTGTGGATATCTTTGATTCATTTGAAAACCTAATGTTATATATACCCTGAGTTTTCTTTTCAAGATTTCATGGTCACCAAGATTAACTATAATTATTCAATTTATATTAACCTCATTTCATTTTCCAAACTGTGGAAATAGACCAAATAGGAAGCAGTAAGTTGAGATTAAAATATATGATAATGTTACATATGTTTTACCACAATTTTTAAAAAAAATGTTTTATGTAAATGTGAATACATTTTTTTAAATGAGTAGTCTTACACTCTTTTTTTCTCCCCACCCCCAACTCCACATTAAAGCAATAATCATCGTCTTTCCAATGAGGTCAAAACATGGAAGGAGAGAACCCTTAAAAGAGAGGTTCACAAAGAAGTAACTTGTGAGAATTCTCCAAAGTCTTCTAAAGGGACTGGAACAGCTTCTAAAAAGAAACAACATATGGCTTCTCCATGCGAAGAACAGAATTTACAAGATCCTGTGCCAAAGGAATCACCAAAATCTTGGTTTTTTGACAACCGATCAAAGTCTTTACCAGCACCTCATCCAGTTCGCTATTTTGATAACTCAGGCTTAGGCCTTTGCCTGGGTGGGTAAATATACCGGTTCCTTAGAAATTGGAGGATAACAGTTGGGATTTATCTTTAATATGTGGCCCCAAAGGACAAGTTTACACAAGAGAAGAGATAGGTGAGCAAGTGACAGGGCGCAAATTTCATTTGCTGTCTCTGGGAGAATGTTTCCCCAAAGCACAGCACTAAAGTCAGTTTTTACCCCAAGTGAAGTTTTTATTTTGCCTCTTAAACCCTCAAGCTTTTCCCGAGGATAGATAAGCAGCTCTCCAAGTACATAAAGACACTCTCCAAGTACATATAAACAAAACTACTTTTACTGGAAAAGACTTTCTCATCAATTCAATGGGCCAGTATTTCTAAAAGCATTGTATTCATTTTACACAAACCAGATTGTAGACTTGTATCATTTACTTGCTAATTCATTTGATCAACAGAATTTTTTGATCCCCAACTATGTATCATATATTAGACCCTGAAGGTACATTGGTGTGCAAAACCAGACATGGTCCCTAGCTTCTAGAGGCTAAAGTCTAATAGGAGCTGTAGTTGGTCATCAGATAGTCAAAAAAAAAAGGTAAAATTCTAGAGTGCAAAAGGCTCTGAGGTTTATAATAGGTTTTTGTTCTAGGAATATTAGGGAAGTCTTTCTTACAGAAAGGAACTGAGATCTAAGAGGTTAATGTTAGTTAGCCTAACAAAGAGGGGAGGGAAAAGCATGTCAGGCAAATGGAACAGTGACAGCCCCAAGGTCAGTAGGAACATAACCAGGGGAAGAGTCTAAAGAAATGTGTGTGGCCAGAGGACAGTGAGCATGCTCCTCTCCTGTGGATGACATCAGAGAAGCCAGAGAGAGGTGAGAGCCAAGCGTGTGGGTTTTGTAGACCGTAAATGGAATTTTTACTTCTTCCTGAAAACATGTAGAGGAAGCCTTTGAAAGGTTTTAAACAATGGCAGGGGAATATAATGAGTCATAAGTTTTGAAATCATGATGTCAGCTCTAAAGTAAGTCACAGTAGCATGGACATGAGCAGATACAGTAGAAATGGAGACAAGTGGACAGATGGGACAAATTTGGGAGTAAAATCAACAGTACTAAGTGTCTGATTGGATGGAGTAGGGCAGCTCAAGGATCACCCCCCAGCTCTTCAGGGGTGCTGTACACAGGTGGGAACATTACAAGAGAAGCTCTGTAATGTGTTTCTTATAGTCTTTCTCATCGTAGAGCATATATCATATGCCCAGTTATGCATGGCCAGAGCCCTTTGTGACACTGAGTCTGCCTGTCTGAAATACCCTATTATGCAGCTGTAGAAGTCTTAAGCAACAAAATTGTACCCTAAAAAGGAAGCTGCCAAGTCATTTAAAGCCCCAAGGAAAGGCTGCCAGGGTTTATGAGAGCTCTACTTTGTGACGAAGAAAATAGTCCATTCTTAACTACACATCAAAATTAGATCAAGCCGGCAGTCTCACAGTGCTCTTGGGGAACATAGCAAGTCATAAAACGATTTGGAAAAAAATTTTGAACTATTCACTCCATTGACTACTATTTAACAACCATTTAAGGGCCTTCCATTAGCCAGCACGTCATGTGGAACTTTTGGTGGACACATACAGTATTTCAGAAGAGTTTTGAAAAACAAACTTTTATAACCACCTTATTTATCTGATAATGCCAGAAACAGACATAATATGAATCCAACCATAAATTAAAATGTTTAAGTCTTTTTATCAATATGTGAATCTCTCTGGTACTATTTTTAAGTGAAATAAACAAAAGAGTAGTCTGCAGGAATATAAAGATAAAAAACCAACCAATTCAGAATTAAAGGACATAGTCCCATCTTAAATTAGTAAAATATTAGTCTGAAAAAACTCAGTTTTTAATTTTAATTATAAAAGGTAATCTGAATTATCTCAAGAACTTAAAATAATTGGCAGGACCAGCCATGCTAGATTTACAGTTGACCCTTGAACTACGCTGGGATTAAGGGTACCAACCCCCAACACATATGCATAAAAATTTGTGTATGACTTTTGACTCCCCAAAAACTTAACAACTAATAGCCTAGTGTTGACTAGAAGCCTTGCTGATAACATAAGTAGTCAATTAACTCATATATACCGTATTCTTATAATAAAGTAAGCTAGAGAAAAGAAAATCAAGAAAATTCTAAGGAAAATACCTTTATAGTATTTATTGAAAAAAATTCACATGTAATGTTCCCATGCAGTTCAAACCCATGTCGTTCAAGGGACGACTGTCTTTCATGAATATAATAATTTGATAATGAATATTGCTTATTCTTAAACAAATAGATGCAGTTGAAGTGCTTTTTAAAGGCTCAAAGGTTTCCAAAGATGTCTATTCTCTAAAACACAAAGTGTGTATTTAGCACACCATTTTTTTTTTCTAAAAATAGGACAAAAGAAAATAAACCTCAACCTAAGTTTGATTCACTTTGAATCTCAAATCCAGATAAGACTTTCTTACTTCTTGGTCTTATGTACAACACAGTTTTCTCACAATTCATTTTATGAAAAGTGGGGAATAAATTTCTCCAACTATAATGAAGTGAAAAATACCCGTTTTTTATACGAGCGAACATGAGGCAGTTGATGATCACATCCCCATTTTTCATTCTTCATATCTCTGTCTTAACATCCTTTCCATTTCCAGTTGTATTTTTGTGTGTGTGAATTTTTAAAATAAGATTACTTTTGTTTTTGATTTTTTTTTTTTTTTTTTTTTTTCTCAGAAGAACAAACTGGTGGAACAGAGAATGTAGATCCTCACTCAGAAGCCCAGCAGGCCTTCTCAGGAAAAGATGTGCCCGAATGCAAGATTCAGTAGACCACTCAATATTCTGTCACTTCTCTGGGGCCCCATGTTCCTTAGTTATTACTTTATGTGTCTGACCCTGGCAATGATGTCACAATCCAACTTAATTTCAATTCCCTTTTCACTTTGCCACTAGAATTGGAAGGTGAAAGGACAGGAGATTAATGCATTCCAGTAATTTAGAATGGTGACAGCAATATCATCTTCCTGAATATGGTAATACTTCAGAAGTTGAATTGTCTTATTTATTTTGTAAAGAATAAAGTTATTGAAGGAAATTTTTAATATAAAATGTATCCATTTTTATTACTGTAAAATTATCTACATATGACTTAGGTAATTCCAAAACATAATACATAGTTTAATATAATCACTTAACAAAATTGTAAATGCCTTTTTTACTACCTTGAACATTCAATAAATGTTTAATTAGTACTGAGTCACAACTCCTGTAACATTAATTAATGGTTTCTTACTGGGGTACTCGGTATATTTGGTTCTCCTATCTTGTCGACTTTCAGAATTTTTCTATGAAAATATACACCTACTTTCTGGATTTAAGTTGTTACAGGCTAGCAAGTGCTATGACCTTCATTTCTTAGTTTTAATCTACTGTTTGCTATGATAACTTCAAAAGTTCTCACGTTTTTGTGGCCCATCTATCACACTTCTATACAAGCAGTATAAATTGCTCGTTTTGTTATTGCACTCTATTATTGCATTTCTAGCTGGAAGAACCTCATAAATCATTTATTTTCTCTTCTCATCATAGACATGAGGAAACAGGACCAGAGTCTCTATCAAAACCTGAGGTCTCCACATACCGTAATGTATGTGTGGATGGGCTTCATGCAGTCTGTAACTTCTGAAAAAATTATGTTAACTTTTGTGTGTGGATTCATTTTTCTAGGATACGCGGGTCCATCCATACTTTCTTATACCATATTCTCAAAGGAGTCTGTGACTCTGTACGAGGTTAAGAACTATGATTTTAGAGAGTACCTGATATTTCATGTCACATAACTTTGAAAAATCACATAAAACAGCAAGTTGCATAAGGTTCAAAACAGTAATTTTGAGGCATTCTTGTCTCTTTGGTAAGAAATTATAAATTGCATCATAGTCATCATTTTAAAGTTTATGGATTGAATATTTTCCCTTAACATGTAATCAAGAATTCTCTAGGGCTAAGGGGAAATTGTCCCTTCCTATAATTCTCTCCCCCATGTTGAAGATTTGTTTCACTTTTCCATACTCACCCAAACAAGACAGTATAGAAGCTACAGGTTTGTTTCTTTACAATGTCCACTCGCTGCTGAATAAAAGTAACGCAAGGTAAAAGGTATGCACGCCTGGATAATAAAACTAAGGCCAGTTAAAAAATATAATCATTACGTACCCAGTCTAGTAGACTGTTACTTAATACTTGAATTTGGATGACCATTTCCTTAGATTTGGGAAGTTTTTAGCCATCATTTCTTTAAATAAATGTTTTACTTTGTCCCTTTCTCTCTTGTGGAAGTCCCACTGTGCATATATTGGTCCACCTGCTGATGTCCCATAAGTACCCTAGGCTCTTCACTTTTCTTTATTCTTTTTTTGCTACTCTGGATAATTTCAAATGACCTCTCCAAATTTGTTGATTCTTCTGCTTGATCAAGTCCACTGTTGGGCTCCTCTAGTGAATTCTTCAATTCAGCTATTGTATTCCTCAGCTCCAGAATTTATTTGCTTCTTTTTTATAGTTTCTACTTCTTTGTTGATATTCTTATTTTGTTCATGTATTATTTGCCTGGTTTTATTTCATTGTGTTATGCAGATCATTGAGCTTCTTTAAAACTATTCTTAATTGTCAGGTTATTCATAGATCACCATTTCTTTGGAGTTGGCTTCTGGAGATTCATTTTGTTTCTTTTGGACCTTGTTTCTCTGTTTCTTTGTGTGCCTTCTGTTTTGTTTTTTTGTTTTTCTGAATTTTGTGCATTCAAAAAATTAGCCTCCCCTTCATTCTTTACTAACTGCTTCACAGAGGGGAAAACCTTCACCAGTCAGTCCGGTTAGAGATTCTGGGGGCCTCTGAAACCTTTCGGGGGTGGGGGCGGCGGTGGATGGAGCCGGGATGTGACTTGTCTGGGCTTGAGTGTAATTTATCCGTCAGGCAGGTTTGCAACATTTTTTTTCAGGGCCTCCTAATCGCTTGCGCTCTCTGGTGTCTGTCTGCAGTACTGCAGTTCTTTTATGCTGCAGCAGGAAGCCACCCCTCTCTTTGTTCTCACTGGCTCCCAGGCATCCAGAGTACATCTGCTTCCCATCAGCACCCCAAATTAGGCAAGACATACCAGTCCTTGGGGCAACCCTCCAAAAGGCCGAAACACCAGACACACACTATGTTCTCTCTTCCTCCCAAGGAGGAAGCTGTGAGTTGAGCACTTTCTCTTGACTGTGCCAAGCCACACCGGCCTCGGTTTGGAGCGCTGCAGGCCCTCTGGTACCAAACGGCATGTTCCATCAGCACTCCAAGTGAGGCGAGGCAGAAACCAGTCACTTGGGCAGCCCTCCAAAATGTTGGGCCTTTGGATGAACTTTCCTCTCCCACTCATTCCCACAACAGAGAAATCGAGGGCCAGGGGCTAAGCTGTGCTAGCTTGGGGGAGGGGTGGTCCCAGGTAAAGTGAACCAGCCCTTCTTACTTATTTCATTTCAGCTGTTCTATTTTGTCCTCGCCTAGGGTACTGCAACTTCTTAACTGGCTTCTGAAGTTCTCACAAAGGTATTTTGGTCCTCATGTTGTTATGTCAGTGTCTCTGGGGCAAAGAGCTGGAACTTGCTATTCCTCCATCTTGACCTCTGCCTCAGAACATTTCTTATGATCTGAGTTTTAATATCGTGACGTGATTATAAAGGAACAATGGTGAAAATCAACAGTGGAAACTTGCAAAAATGTTGAAAAGCAGTAATATGGTCAGATATTACTAAATGATCTGAAAGTTAAGTCAGGACCAGAGAAGACAAAGTACATTATTGTTCATAAGAAACATTTTCTTGAGAGGCTGGCAGAATTATATTCAGGAAACTTATGAGGATCCTGCCATTTATACTCAGCAAATATTAAGTGACTGTCTACTGTGTGTTGATCATTCGTCTAAGCACTGAAAGTCACCACCTTTGTGGAACTCACTGTATTTGGAAAACAAATAAATGATGAACTTTAATATGAACTGACCACAATGTACAGGTGAAAAAGATAGTCTCTAGCCTTGAAGAAATTCAGTCCACTGATGATACAGACAGAGAAGCATATATTTGCAATACCATGCGACTTATGCTGTTGTACAGTAAATCTTATTGTTGAAGATCAGTGGACAAAGGAAGGCTGATGAAAGCTGCATCAAGAAAAGTATCGGTGTTGGCCTTGATTAGGGAACTCTCATACTCAATAAGCCTATTTCAAAATCCTCAAAAGTCAAAGGAAAGGCATTATTAAAGCAAAGAGCACAGCTGTGCATGATGACCCCTCACTAGACCCAATATTAGTCACAGTGAGACAATGAGGGACAGCGTCAGCAAAGACCTTATGTGGGCACATGCAGAAACTAGTCAAGGTTTAAAAAAATTTAAAGGACAATTTTTGCTATCCGTTACAATTGAATTTCTAACAACTGTTAACTTGACTAAGTATCTATGTGACACATTGTGCCGATGGTTTTACATGCTAAGTCTTTCCTCCTCACACCAACCCTGAGGAAGGTGCTATGGTTTCCTTCATTTCACAGATGAGAAAACAGGTTTGGGGAGTCAAGTGACAGTATTAACTACTGAGAGAAAGATGTGGGACCTACCATTATCTATCTGACTCCACAATGTTTGTTCTTAACCACTATGATTGTTATGAATACACTTAGCTCCAAGAACAACAACAACAAACCTAAAAAAAAAAGAATTAATCTAAACAAAAGAAGTCCAAATGAGTTTAGGGTTCTTGCCTTGAGGCTGTCTTCAAGGAACCAGGTCCCTTTTCTTAACCCTGCTGTCCTTAATGTGTGCCTCTGACCTCATACCACGTGACAGAATGGCTGCTATGTCCCAAGGCATCATGTCTGCATTCCAGGAGAAAAGAGAGAAAGAGCAAAAGTCAAAAGCCTTTCAGAGAGGGAAGCCTTTCTAAGAAGGAAGCCCTCCTCAGAAATTCTAGCCTACGTTTCACTGGCCAGCCAGCTCTAGCAGCATAGGAGGCTGAGTTGAGTTTTGCTTTCTGGACTTTATAAACTAAAAGACAGAGGAAGGTGAGTTGGGTGGGTGTTGAGTGAGCCAGCTTAAGTAGTACATGCACAAATAACCTACACGATCACTCTGCCCAGTTATATGCCTGATAAAGTACGAGTTATTAAGCCCAGCATAAAGGATTCACATGATCTAGTCCTTTTTTTTTTTTTGGATATCTCTGTTCTCTTCAGCCAGTCTGGATTTTTTTTCTCTTATCCCACATGTACTTCCACTGAAATTCCCCAACCCTATCCCCTCAGTGCAGTCAGGATGGCTGTATTCTGCCACTAAACATGAATTAGTATTAAAATAGAGGGAGTGTAACAAAATAATCACAACTATACCATAAACATGGGAGAATTTTTATTTTCCTGCCTCAAAGCTATCTAGGTCAAGGGCCAAGAAGGAAGTCTCCAATACCTCCAGTGACCTGGGTTCCTTCTGTTTTGTTGCTATGTTATCTTCCACAGGCAATTTCTGGTTCATTTAATCTTTAGTGCCCCCAGAACAGCACAAAGAAGATACAAACGAATGACAAGGACTTAGGGAGGTTAAAGTGAAGAAAACGATTTCCACATCCTAAATAAGCTGCAAGATCCTTTTCCACTTCTGGCCTCCTACTTGGAGATAACAGTTTTACCCGAGCTCCACTAGATGGCAGCACATACACAGGTACAGTATATGAAAGTGCGAGGCCTTTTTTAAAATTGAAGGAACCTAACTACAAATCCCTGCATGCACTAGTAAACACTTGACTTACTTTTGCACAAAGGTATCAAGTTTGTAGCTCGCTCCGTGGTCTAGAAGACGCCATCCACTTGCTGCTCTAAAGTAAGATTTCCTAATATATTTTAAATGAAACTTTGGACTGGGAAAAGGGGAGGTCGAATTTTTAGATGTTGCCTTGTTCTGCACATTACCTATTTCAGAATTAATCTTAGCAGTAAGGTAGGATAAGGGTGGGTTCCTACCAAGTTTGAAACTCTGGTATATCAGTAAGTTTTTCAAAATAAGAGAGGTTTTTACAGTGTCTTAAGTGAACATTTTTCTTCCTGACTCATGAAGATAGAGTTTCTGAAAATGCCGTTTGTGTCTCTGCTAATTGGAAATGAACATTTTGATTCTAATATTTAGAGTAAGAAAGCCATCATGTGTAGTTTTCACATTGGATGTATTGAAAGTTGCCCCATTTTACCATTTCAGGCCATGTTTGCACTGATTTTCCCTAATAAATCCATTTTGGTTTTGATAGTGCAGTTTTATCTAATAATAAGGCTTTGGCTCCGAAATCTGGTCCCAGGACAGGGAGGCCAGCGAGGGAAGGTTTTCAGAGAGAACCAAAGGGCTGCTCTGTGTTTCAGCAATGGTTCAGTAAATTCTCTCTCTCTCTCTCTCTCTCTCTCCTCTCTCTCTCCTCTCTCTCTCAGTGTCAAAGGCAAACATTTGGCTTTTGCCTTCACAGTGCCATGTGCCAAAAGTCACTAATGAAAATAGTGTAAAGTAACAGCTTTTAAATACACCATGCTCAGGATTCATGGATGGTAGATTATTGGAATCTCTCTAAAGTATAATTGAATATAGCTCTTAACTCTTTCCGTGTTTAAAGTAAAAATATAATAGTCGTATAAGGAGAAAAAACCAACAGTACAAATTCATTACAGTAGAGGAGGACTGGCACCATAAAAGCCCAGCTTCTCCGTCGCAGAACAAATGCGAAATCAGAAAACATCCCGTGAAGTCGTCAGCCGGTCCCACCCAGGAGACGGTTCTAATGCGTTGTTAGTCTGGCCCTCCAAGGAGATGTGGGTTTTACTGGGGGAAACGGCGATGTGAGAAAAAAGGAGAAGGGAACCACAGCCGCGATCCATGACGAAGTCCGCCCACAGGAAAGGGAGCGGGATGCCAGGCTGGCATGGAGCCTCCCGATGGCCTTGAGGTTTGCCGGAAGGTCCGCGAGGCTCCCCGGGGAGGAGCACGAGGAGAAGCATGGTGTCCCCTAGAAATGGGTCTGCCTCAGTGTTCGCGCCGCGCTCAGGCACCGCCCACAGGAAGGTGGCCTCAGCTCCAACTCAGCGATGGGTTTCAGAGCGCAGGTGGCCAGGTGTTCAGCTATCTGGGTTCTGGTCAGTTACCAGGCCCCTGACACCGCATTGGGTCACTGAGTGTGCAAGAACCACAAGAAGAACCAGGTGTTCTGTTGGACCTGCAATCAGGAGGCTGGGTTTGAATTCGTAGCTGTGAAACACTGGGTAAAGCACACAATCTCTTTGAAGTTAGCGCACTGGTGATCCGGCCCTCTTATCTCTTAAATACTCCCTCATCCACCCCTCCTGCTCCAGCTGGCTCCCTGCCCAGGTCTATTCTCCACAGAGGTCTTTGTAAAATACATGTCTGAGCACATCACATTCTTTCCATAAACCCTTCAGTGCCCATTGCCCACTGAAGTAATTAGCCCCTCAGAAGGTAGAGCTTGGACAAAGGGTGGAGGCTTGAAAGGAAAGTACCCTTTGAATGCAGCAAAAAGCCAAATGTGGCTGAATAGAACAGAGATTCTTTCTAAAAGAAAGGACTAGATCATGTGAGCCCTCTAGGTAAGGCTCGCTACCTGTACTTTATCAGGCAGGTAATTGAGCAGAGTGATTGCGTAGTTTTGTTCATGTACTATTTATGTTGGTTCACTCAACACCCACCCAATTCACTCTCCTCCTCCCACCCTTTTTTTTTTCTTTGCCTGGAATGCCTATATGATGCCTTAGTACACAGCAGCCACTTTGTGGTTTGGTTTGAGGTCAGAGGCACACATTAAGGACAGCAGGGTAAGAGAAAGAAACTGATTCCTTGAAAATAGCCTCAATTAAACAGCATCTGACTCTTCACCACCCCTGACCTCATCACTAGGCATTCCTCTCACCGTGAGATCTACAATCCAAGCCCTGGGCAAATATCTCATACACATCATATTTCTCCTATGTCAGAATCTCTCAGTCTTCCCTTTTAAAAATTACTGATTGTCTGTTAAAAGGTCACTGCTCCAGGCTTAAACTTTAAGAGAGAATCAGCAGCATTATGGGGTGGAATGTTCACATACAAAAAACTTAGGACACGTGCACGTAGTTCTGGCTCTGCTGTTGACTGGCTCTATGACCTTGAGCAGGTTAGGTCAGTTTCCTCATCTGTAAAATGGGGTTACTGGACATGATTTGATTTTCCAACTCTTTCGTTCAATGAGTCTCTGAGGGCAACCGTGAAATCTTTTCAAGGGATAAGGGAAAACTATAGACCACTGACGGTGCAAACTCTGACAAAAGTTTACAGGAGAGAAAGCAAGCAGCAGCCCAAGTAGTAAGGACACATACAACGCCATAGCAATGTGTGCTGGGACAGTGCGG